GTGAGGTCAGTGACCGTGTCAGGGGCGTGAAGGCAGTGAGTGCGTAAAGGGCATAAATGGTGTGAGGGACATGAGGGGTATAAGTGCATCAGGGCCTTGAGGGCGGTGATTGCGTGAGGGGGGTGGGGGCTTTCAGTGCATGAGGGGCGTAAAGGGTATGAGTGCGTGAGGGGCGTGAGGGCGGTGGGTGTATGAGGGGCGTAAGGGCCATGAGTGCGTCAGCGGCGTGAGGGGTATGAGTTCGTGAGGGCCGCGAGGGCGATGAGCGCGTGAAGAGTTGAGGGCCATGAGTGCATGAGGGGCATGAGGGGTATGAGTGCGTAAGGGCCGTGAGGGCGGTGAGGGCGTGAGGGCTGTGAGGCGGAGGGGGGGCGTGAGGGGTATGAGTACATGACGGCCGTGAGGGCGGTGGGTGCGGGAGAGGCGTGAGGGGTATGAGTGCGTGTGGGCCATGAGGGCGATGAGCGCGTGAGGAGTGTGAGGGCCATGAGTGCATAAGGGGCGTGAGGGGTATAAGTGCGTAAGGGCCGTGAGGGCGGTGAGTGCGTGAGGGGCGTGAGGGGTAAGAGTACGTGAGGGCCGTGGTGGTGGGGTCGTGAGGGGTGTGAGGGGTATGAGTGCATGAGGGCCGTAAGGGCGGTGGGTGCGAGAGAGGCGTGAGGGCCATAAGTGCGTGAGGGGCGTGAGGTTCAGAGAGGGTGAGTGGAGGGCTGAAGGTGAGTGTGATTGTGAGGATGAGGTTGAGTGAGGGGCTGAAATTTAGTGTAGCTGTGAGGGTGAGGGTGAGTGAGGGCAACCTAAAATACCGACCTCTGGTTTTTAACAAGCGCCCCCTACTCCTCGCGAAGCCTTTGTGGACGAGCCTTTACCGACACCCAAGATATAACCAAACAGTGCTGCACTTACTTCATTCCTTAGCCATCACCATCCAATCCCAAGCCAACTGGCCAACCTGTCGCGCATGCGCATAGCAGTCGAACCTGAGTCGAACATTTGTCGAACTTTTCACAAGTTCGAAAAAATCGAGTCTACGCGGCTCTTGAGTAGCGCAATCTAGATCGCCATCTCTTGGAGCGAACGCCCGGGGGTTCCAACTCCGATCAGATATGCATGGGGAACGTGATAAAATCGTTGTTTCTTCAATATTGTGGGGATGTACGGAACGTCAATAGTTTTTGACATAATAAAGGAACATTTAACAAATAATTTGCGCCAAGTTGCGTGCCATGTAAGGACGTAACTTTTTTTTTTAATTGCCTGAGCGGCATTATGCAGCAGACGACGCGGCGACGTCGCGTCGACGTCGCACCGTCCACGTGACCCGCTCCGGCCAACCCAGAAAGTCCGTCTCCGCTGCGCACAAAAATCGTCTGCTTCAAACGCCTTTGCCTTAGAAATTGCATTATCAGAATTTTCACACGCATCCGATATTATGAAAACTTTGATAAAGTGTTTAGTGCTTTACCAACTTCACGACAGACTAGTTTCGAAAGGTGTGAACTCGGCGTTTATTTTTTAATCAGCCGTGTTACATCGATCTCCATGTGTTCTCCCATAGGGCGGGCCGCCTCCTGGAACCCTGAGCACCACGTGACTCGCGCCGAGCTGCTCTGTCGGCCATGTTTTCGGCAAAGCACGCGGATCAAAGGATTGCGTTACTCTGCTCCGTGGGAGCTATATAGTACTCTAGTTTACTCTAGTCTGGAGCAATTACCGCCGAATTCAGAAACCTCACTCAAACTGAAGGCCCCCCCCCCCCCCCCCTTCCCACTTCCTCGATGAAGGCGCGAGGGCCGGCGCTGGCCAATCGCGAGGACGGATCCGCCATCGCGATTGGCCAGCGCCGGCCCTCGCGCCTTCCTCGAGGAAGTGGAGGGGCCCTTCAGTTTGAGTGTAGTTTGAGTGAGGTCTCTGAATTCGGCGGTTACTCAAGCTACTTACCTCGATCGGGGGTTAACATCGGATAAAATCGAGTAAATCCGTCGCGTGATCTGTTCGTCGTCTGCTTTCTGCACCGACAGCCGTCACAGCTTGTTTTCTCCGTTGGCGTTGTGGCGGACGTTCGAAATGACAAGAAAATGAAGTGCAGCCATTTATGTGTTCTTATTGCGATTTGCTGCTTTGAATGCAGGAATCGACTGCATTACATCCAAGGTGCGCTGTTATTACCAGAGTGCGAGCGTAAATAGGAGCTTCTCCGCATTCTCGGCGTTGGAGGAAATGCGGCATTTTCACGTTCAAGGCTGAACATGTTCGAACGCAATAAATGATGTGGAAGTATGTTTGTTTTCCCCAGAGTGTGTGTAATGAGAGGATAACGCATGTAAAGCAGTGAGGGCTTCGAAGATCTCATGTGTACGAAGTTTTCTTTTTGATTTTATAATCATATTCGCGACAGAAAATCCCGTGCGCTGTACCGCTACACCGTGTGGAAGCAATTTCTGCAAAGCGTAATAGGTGAAAATTACGATATGTGGAACAAAAATCTACAACAATCGCGCTGATTAAAAAAAAATTGATGTTTGGTTGAAAGGAGTGAGTAATTTTGATCTCAATATACAGCCTAAAGGAAGGTGAGCAAAAGGAGCTGGTGGAGCCACCTAAGAAAACATCGCGTCGTCATTACTATTATCGTCTCTTCGAGTGCTTTCTCCATGATGAAAAGAGATCGTCTGCTATTCATGTTGAAAAAACAGCGCGACTGGGACGAGGACACAAAGAGACGAAGAGAACAGAAGACAGAGCGCTGACTATCAACTGGTTTATTGCATCATAAAAAAGAACACCATGTTGTAATAACAAACCAGTTGATAGTCAGCGCTTTGCCTTGTGTTCTCTTCGTCTCTTTGTGTCCTCGTCTCAGTCGCGCTATTTTTTCAACATGAACTCTCACCAACTCGCTCAGCTATCTATCCTTATCGTCTGCTATTTTCTGTCGCGCTGCAGTGTTTTCTCTTTGCCGTAGCCTAAGACAAAGCCAATCCGGGCCAGATTCACGAAACGATCTTACGCCAAAAATGTGCGTAAGACAAAACTTAAGAACAAATCCGTATTCACGAAACGAAATTTTCGTAAGTTTTGCGCAGGTTACGACGAAATCCTACGACAGCTCCGAAGCTGTCTTACGCACTTCTTACCATGGCCGACAGCGTCGCTCATTTGGTCGCGACAACCAACGGATGTTTATTTTTCTACGTGCGCCTCTCACGCGTCCCGACTTCAAGCAGCAAGAAACAAGTAAAAACTACTTGAAACAGACCACGACGAACGAACAAGAACGCTGGATCCACAGACACCCGCGAAAAACTCCAAGGGCCACGAGTACGGACTCCAACCGATCGGCAGATAGGCCTAGCAGGCACTCCGACTCGGCGCAGCGATGATCTGACGGTCCTTGGCGAAGACCGTCTGCCCACGACCGGCTGGCGCGCTGAATGGAATATGCCCGCGCGACCCTTGTGAACCCTTCCCGTATATAGTTTGATCGCTGACCTCAATTCTAGATTAAGAGGTCGATCTCTTCCTCTTGTCATCTCCTTGTTTTCCGAGGCAACGGTGACGAACGCTGTCGTCGAAAAGGGGCTCTCATCGCTTCTATCTCTGTTTTGTGTGATATCAAGCTCAAATAAACGCCGTATGGATTACCTTCGCAACATGGTATGTACATTTTGTTATTAGTATTCCATTTTATTCTGACACGACTGCACCTCACAGTCGATCGCTGTAACAGTTCGTGGGTCGCAATGCCGGTCCAACCTTTCTTCGCCGGGTGTCACGTCAGCATCGAGTTGCAATTGTAAAGGATCGGTCCCGAAGCGCTTATCAATTCGCGGTCCAACAGCGCAAATCCAGCACTTCGATCAAACGCGCGCGTCCGTTCCGTAGTGTGAACAGGCATTTACGTGGCTCTTGCTTACACTGTCATAGTTCAAACGTATCTTTTTTAACGTCGGCTCGCTCCAGCATCTCCGAGGCCGCAAAAAACGTCGCGGCAATTTGTTCCCATCTGCGTCGCTCTGCAAACGACTGCGGGCCGTCTTTTACCAACGATGACAGTTGTGTTGACTTGGTAGCGATCGAGTTCGTAGCAGTCAATGGGGATGGTTACGCATCCCGGCCTCGGATTCCGGCGAGTTTAAATCGGGTTAGCGTCGACATATCACTGCACGGATACGAACCCGAGACCAGCGGTGGCAGAAAGGCCGCCTGTGTTTGTTATGAAAAATCCACGTGCTCCGAACGGCTCCGAACGGCTCCGAACAAATGCCGAGCTCTCCGATTGGTTGTTCGTGCTGCCGAAGACGCCGTCGCCATAGCAACAGCACCGGTAAGTTTTAGTTTCTCCGTACGACAACGTCGCTTTCCTCCTCTCACTTAAAGGAGCTGTGCAACAATTTCAGGGCTTTGCTTAAATAATTGTGGAAGTTGATGCCTGACACTTCTGCAGTGAACTACAGAAAACAGATTTTGCCTGGATACCCTAGTTTTTACTTAAAAAAATGAAAAAGATCCAGGTTTTCGCCGCCTCTCAACTCGTGCATCGTCTTCCGGGTCACGTGCACAGTGACGTCACTAGAGTAGGCGCGGAGTTCCGGAAAAGTTCTCTCTTTAGAGTCATCAGCGAGCAGCGAGAACTCATCCGCTGCCGACCGCGTGACCACCCGTCCTTGCCCGTCCGGCGCTGTCCCCCTCCCCCTCCGGCTTCTGGCGGCTGTTCGCGGTTTTGTGGACCTAGGATAGATGGCGCCACTAAAACTCCGTATAATAAAAGTTTTGTCGATGATACCAGGGTGTTGACGCATTTATATATATGTTGGAACGACAAGATTTGTAAAAAGAGTTACCTTTTATCGAGCAGGTATTCGCACAACTTGCTATCTTTCTTACAACGACCCAAGTGACGTCACGCCGCTTGTTTCTCATGGCCGCCGCTCGTGGCTGCAGGTCGGGAAATATTCTAAGTTTTGCCTCGCTATTACGCGGCGGAATCGCAACATTGCGATGAAAGGAGGTGTGTTTTCTGCCATTTGTGACACAGTGAACAATATCAAAAGCAGAAAATGCCAATTCTTTCAACGTTAAAATCGTTGCACAGCTCCTTTAAGAACGCGTTCGTGAATACCGATTTCTCCTCTTCTTACGATGTTCTTAACTTACGAACTTCTTAGCTAAGTTGTCGTAAACTAAGAAGCTCTTCGTGAATCTGGCCTCTGGTGATTAGCCCGCCCTAACGTTGGCCCGGCCGTTCCAAAATCGAGTCGCGGGTCGTTTACTCGCGATTTTGACGTGGCATTACCCGCTGACGTAGGAGACAGGTTACTCGGGTAAGATTCAGAACATAGCCTGTAAAACCGGTGTTCTTACTGCGCAAGTTCATGTAACTTTAAAACAATCCAATCCAATCCGCTCAAGTTTAAAAATGGCCGCGGCGTCTCCGTGTCCCGTTGTCGCCGATTCGGATGACGAAATGTCGAAGAGATTTCCACTGCTCTTTCCGATGAATGAGTCCTGCACAGAGTACAAAGGCTTCCTGGAGGTTTTGGTAAAGCTCGAAGCGGCTCCGTGTCCAACGCGACGGTAGTTACCACACGAAGCCCTCGTCTTTGCAGGACGAGCACTTCTACGTTCACCTGAGTGCCGCTGATCCGGCCGAGCCGAATACTTACTCCCTGAATGGAGACTGGAGTCTTCACGAGCTGGTAACGGCTTCTGGCAAGGCCTTCGAACAGGTGAGAGCTCTATCACATCCAGTAGCAGAGCGAAGCGAGCAATTACACTCACCATGATGATTTTAACCCGAGACTGGGCCGTCATTTCGTCAACTATACCCAGTTTTACCTTTCAATGAACTGCGGTGCTCTAATAGGTGTTAGCTGAGAGCAGACCAACTTGCACGACGTATAGTACTGGGTGGCTGACACTGCAAACGTGAACCGACAAGTGGTCTTTACCTGGGAGATACGTTAATCGCTGACCTAGCTGATGATGGAAGTTTCTGCAGTCCTTAATCTCGAGAAAATTCTGACACGTTTGGTGCATATTTTCCCCTTTACTCTGAACCAAAATCCTGCTATCACGGGAAAAAAAATACATGAAATGAAAGAAAAGATTTTCCTTTTATAGATGCGTTAGACATATTGGAGAATTAGGATCTCTATGCACCTTTCAGCTTAGTCGGTACTGTGACTAGTAATGGCACTTATTACAACCTTTCCTGTAAACTGGGACACTTCAGAAACTACCCAACTGTGTGCTTTTCAGATTCTTGGGAAGTGCAAGTCGCTCAGTCATTTTCTGATGGAATTCTGCAACATGATGGTGAGTCACCGACCATTTGCGGTGTTACCGAACTAATGTCGAGGGGCTCGTAAGTGGCTAGTGGATGGGCTCGGCTACTTTGCACCTCTGTCCGATGCAGGAATTAACTCTCAAGGCCCAAGGGGAGCCAGAGAAGTTTCAGCGGGCCCCCGAAATCCTCACCAGAATCTTGAGCGACTTGGAGCACTGTGGCTGGCACAAGTGAGTAGACAACGTCTGTGTTGGTTCGTTCACCCGCCCGAGAGTCTCCAAGTTGCAAGGTTGTATCCTTCCAAGACATTCTTACCTCGTGACTATGCATGCAATAGGATAATTTTTCAGGTCTGCCATTCTATGGCTACGGGCTCTTGTTATCTTCTGCGTGAGGTACAGGCCACAATGCAAGTTTGTCTGTACTCATTGTATGAACATGATGGCAACAGCAGGCATGCATGCATACATGCACACATTGACTAGGGAAGTGGTCATACGGTCAGGCCATACAAGTCCTGGTTGTCTTGATCTATTAGGCAAGAAAAAGGTAGCAGTAGCCATATTGGCGATCACAGCGGAAGATGGTGACAGCTAGGTTGGAGATCGGCGTGACTGATCGTAAGATTCAGACATGTGTCGAGGATGGACGATCGCTTGCTTCGTCATACTTTTGCTCGGCTATGTCATATCAATTAATTATAACTTGTGAGGGCATTTTCCCATTCATTGCTTCTCTCTTAAACAGGGAGGACTGTAAAAAAATGTGTCAGGTTTGTATACTGCCATATCAGATGCCCCTTAATTTGGAAACCTCTGCAATGCTTCCGAGCAACTTTTAAGCATTGTTTGTACACAATGTCCATGAGTGTTCAAAGAAGCTGGCAGTGTCAGCTCTGAGAATATGCTTGCAAGGTCCTCAGTAAATCTGCCCATTTCCAGCTTGGGACATTTGAGTGTGGCTGGGGATGAGATCCAGCTCAACTACATTGATAGTAGAAAGCAGAAGCACTGGCTCAAGGTCCACCTGAGCCCAGAGGTAGGTGCCACCCATCCTGTCTGTCATTTTTGTTTATTCATTTATTTATTGAGTGGTATTATTAGCCCTCTACAGGGCTGTTAGAGGTGTGGTAACACATACAAAGAAAACAAACAGTCATGTACACACTGTTTACACAAAAATAACTGAACAGAATGAAAGAAACACTCGCGTGAAATATAGTGCATGTAATCAATGTGCTACTAAAATTGTTTAGTCACTTCACATTGAAAAAGTAGCTATTTCAGCATTCAGATAGACGAATACAACTGTAATAAAGTTAAAAAAGACATAACATTAAAAAAAAAAATGCACACATGCATACAGCTTACATGCCCGATATAAGGTGTGCCCACTGTGGACCACCTTTGCACTCCCTCGGGTTTTTTCACATTCACAGACCTCTTTCTCACACTCCTTGCTATGCATGCGCATGTCCTTGGCCCTTGTATCGACCAATGGCCGTCATAAAAACCACCCATCTGTGCCTTGCAGGGTACGCTTTCCAAAATGGGGCACATTTGACGACTGGAGACATTAGCAGCTTGAGAGTTCTACAATGCAATGGCTTTTTGGGGGAAAGGCCCACAAAGCCATTTTGCCCCCTTTTGTAGATAACAATAAATGCTGTCAAGTATGGGCACAATCTGAGTGTGCCCCGTTGGAGCCAACTGGAATATCAATACGTCATCCCCCCATTTCCTTGCCTGCATTGCCATCTTGGTGCTTTGCGCAGCACGGGTGCAACTGGCAATCATAACGATTCAGAAATGCGACTTTCCAATCTTTAGATGTGGCGTCAGAAGCTCAGGTAGTATCGTGTCGCTCTGTCACAAACTGTCTTAACAGTTCTGGAGGACGTAAAGGCATTTTTTTGCCATTTTGAATAATGCTTTATGCAGCTGGCAGCAATGACTTTAAGCATCAAGGCCAGATGGCGCAAGCTACTACCTGTTATAAATGGTATAGCCATCTTTCTCCATCGACCCATCTGTCCTATGGCTCAAGTGTCGTTACTTGGAAGCATGGCTCATTTCGCGGCTCTAGAGTGGATTGACCGGACATCTCTGCTCCCGTGCAGTTTCCCGCGGAAGCTCCCAGTTATGACACGGACCTGCCGGTGGTTTTCGAATTCCAGTGGCACAAGGTGAGTCCCGACGGTGCGGACGTGGAGGCAATCGCAGAGCTCTGTGCCCTCTCCAAACGACGCAGGGCCAAACGCTGGCGGCTGTCTTTGAGGCCTTCGCACGCCAGGCAGACCGGCTGGTGCCTTTCTGGGAGGCCGCAGCTGACCTCGACGCACGCTGCTGGGTCCTCGATCCCCCGTGTCCTAGGGCGGGAGATGCGTACCGCCGGATCGCGCTAGGTAAGGCTCGCGGAGACATGTCTGATTGTGCTTTTGGCCCCGGGGTCATAGACACGATGCCACCTAAAAGACAAGGCTTGTGGATTATAGCATTGTTAGTGGGAGCTTGACTAGAGTATGCGGCAAAGCATCAGATGCATGCATCTTGTTGTTGCCATGCACTCGTTGCAAGCTAGGCGGTATGTCGTGGATCAACTATTGATGGTATTTAGGGCATAAAAGGTGCTGGTCATGTCTTTTTGGTGGTGTTGGCCAGGCACCGTCTTCAGCTCATGTGCTGATGTGAGAAGCTAGGCAGGTAGAGGTTGGTACCTTTTCTCAAAGTGATATGTGTGTGTGCACTCTAGTTCCATCATAAACATGCTATCTTGCATGCATAAAGAAAACAGCGATGTGAGTATCACATGCTTTTTAGAGCGCAACTCTTAGGCGCCCGTTTTCTCATTGAGTGGCATCGCTGTGGCCGTCGGTGGAACTGCGTGCGTTGCATTATGTGATTTCACAGTTTCCATGCTAAACTTAGCGGGGAAATAGTCATGTGACGACAATTTTACTGCTATAGCGAGGGAACTGAATTTGTTCATATGTGACGTAACACTAAGTCATGTGACATCATTTTCTCCACTATATTTAGCCGGGAAATTGAATTGGTGTTGAGGTCACGTGGCGTCAATTTTCCAGCTGAATTTAGTGGGGAAGCTGTGGGAGGAGGGGAGTGTACAAAGGAGGAGGAGGTGACAGTATGGAAGAAGAGGGGAGGAGGATACGGAGGGGGAGGGTATAAAGGAGGAAGAGGACACGAAAAAGGAGGAGGGTGCAGAACCAGTATGTGAGGAGAGTGCTCTATATTTGTATATATATAAGTTTCTTTCTCAAATTGTTTAGCACGGTATATCACAAAATCAAAATACCTCAAGAGCTGTGCTCTAATGTCGCATTACAGAGATTTGTAAACGTCGCGTTTTTTTGAACACTATTAGATCCTCCCGATTGTTCTGAGGCAACTTAGCCTACACCAAAGTGTCCTTTGGGGGTGGGCCATACACCAGCACTCCGTCGAGACACCAACTGGTGCGGATAGAAAAAGCAGTACAGTGCCAGGCATGAAAGCCTCCTACACTCGAAAAAAAAGAATGAAAGTGTTTTTGTGTGAAGCACTAGGTGATGGTGCTGAGACACCACCAAGGGATGTTTTTTCTGCAGGGTTGTATATTTGCTGAGGAAAAGAACTCTCCACCTGGAAACTTAGGACCAGCACAGAGGACTCTGGTATTGTGCTAGAGACTCCAGGAGAAAACAGGAGCCAGTGTCTTAAATCATTGTGTTTTTGGTGGCGTCTTTAAACCATCTTTGTTTCAGCCTCTTAGTGTTCTCGATTGTTGAGTCCTTGTGGATGGCGCTTCCATAGAGGTGCACACTTAAATGCTTCGTTGGAGGCCCTTCCATCCTGGCTAGAGTGTAATCCTTCTGTTATTTTCACGATAAAGGCAAGAACGTATCGATGATGGTGGTCATCGATCCGCACACACCGATGACCTTACCTCGCCTGGAGTTTACAGGGCCAGAGGCGGGTGAGTCCCATTGCCCTTCCCATTGCCCAGCAATCAAGCTGGCTCCAAATGAGTAATGAGCACTCCTTCCAGAGGTCAGCCTCCATGAGAAGGCTGTCCAGGACAATGTGGACAAATGGTGAGTGGGCATTTTCCTCCCAAGGAAAGACCTCCCAGGAGGAAAATCTTCGATGAGGCAAAAGGCAAGCCTCCTGGAGGCCTATTGGCGACTAAAACGAAATTTGCAGCACCTAGCGTCTAGAACAGAAAGTTGTGGCGGCAGGTTCGCTCGCCAACCTTCTCGAGCGGATCAGATATTCAGGGCACCTGGCAATGTAACGACGAAGTCGTTAAAGTAGGTTTAAGAACGTCTGATAAAAATCGCGTTAATCTTTTGCAGATCTTAAGAAAAGCATGACAAGCTCTCTGCTAGTCACAATTGGTGGTTTCCTTCTCTCTGCTCATTTCCTCATTGGCGTTCACTTTGTCAAAATGGGAGGAGTCAAAGGATTATAGCATTGTGTGAGGAGTGCCATGCATAAAGGGTTGTCCATTTATGAGGAAAGAAAGCTGCAAAACGCATTTCTAGAGGCAGTGAGTGTGCGTTCCTCGAGCTGCACAGCTCCGGGCCCAAATCGAAACTCTGCTTTCCTTGCATTGCTCTAGGCACAATCCTGTGTGGCTTCAAAGCTGTCGTTTTGGTAGAGCAGCCATGATGCCCGAAGGCCAACCTGCAAGCTCTTGGGCAGAGTAGGAAACATTCTCCTCTTTCCTCTCTTCAGCCCGACATAAAAAAGCAGCTTCTTGAATTCAATGGTTTGCTCGACTGTCGAGGGGGAGGTTTCTCTCCCCTTCTCGGCCGCAGGGTTGCAATCAGAGTGAGGCTCCAGCGCCGCTTTGCTGGCGACCTTTCGACTGCCCCCGCAGGGACCCCAGTGCGTCCATCTCGGCCAACCTGTCGGCTTTGCTGGGATTTGAGGTGCCTTCCAGGGAAAATGCGACGTCTGAGGTATGCCCATGGGCTTCCTCCCCCTCAGCCCTGCCGGGAGAGGCACTCAACAGTGGAGGAGTTGCTCTTAAACCTGACCTAGAACTGGGAAAAAAAGAAATCGCCTGCCATAGACGTTCTGCCGAATTCGACGAAGGTGCAAAGGCACTTTATGGGGTTTTCAACGAGAAGCACTTGCTATCAGAATTTAGCGGAGATATTTCCTCGCTAAATTTAGTGAGAATGTCGCGACGTCACGTCACGTCACATGACGCGACACCATGACGTGACATTGTGATGTGAACCAGAGTATCACGTGACACTTGACTTCTTGTGGCAGGGGCTGTTACAACAAGCCAACAGCTTCGCTCGGTTGCCGACATTATCCCATGGCCTCCCGAGCACGAGGAAGCAGGGCCCATGAAGGGTTCCATATAAAGCTGTTGCTTTAAACTAGTGTTGCACGAATATTCTAATTTTCGCAAAGCAGTGTAGAATAATACGCTATTCGATATTCGCTTCGAAGTTCGATGTGAACTGCGATATTCATACTTTTCGAAGTGTTGATTGTAACGGGTTTGCTCTGTCGAGTGCGCTTCTCACCGGACACCTGTGCACTGCGGTGAAGCAATATTCGTGGAGCTCGCGGTCTCCGCGGGTATTGCTTCGCCACAATGCACTGGTGCTCGGTGAGAAGCGCACTCAACGGGGCTAACCCACCGCGATTGTGCAGATGTTAGCAATGTCTTGACAGTCTGCGTTCATCATTCATGCTTAATTTTTTTTGTCAGATTGACAAATTGAAGAAAGAATGTTTGCATATAGTAGGCATATTTATAAATCCCTTCTATTAGGATAGCTGCGACGAATCTGCCGTTTACATGCCACAGTTCATAAATATAGTTAAATAAAAATTAACTGAACTTAGAAGTGGACAAGTGGAAGGTTGGAAACAACCTTTACAAGTTCAGTTGAATTCTCGTTTAAGCATGGTGCATGTTAGTGAAAGACCTGAAGAAACTATTCGATATTCGACTAAAAAATATTCGGCTAAAACCACTATTCGCTTCGACTTCGCTTCAAACTCAAAAGTCCACTATTCACATGTGCCTACTTTAAACAAATAAAAAGCTGGAGCACTAGGGCCACATGAAAGTGAGTTCTTAATTGAGGAAGTATCACACAATCAACATTCAGTACAGGAGAAGGGGACAAAGTCAAAAGTCCATTTGTCTCTTTCACACCAGCTCAGCGTTAAAGAGGCCCTGCAATCATATTTAAGCGTCCACCTTTTTTGCGGTTTCCACGTCTCTTGGGGTTCAGGCAATCCAGCGGGCACGGAGAGAGTAACTAAATATCAGTGTGTCATATTTTAACCGGACGACGCGGAAACCTCCTCCACCGACGAGGGCGACCCGCGGTACCGAAAGCGCACAAAATGTGACGTCTTTGGTCCTGGGCTTACTACTGGTCAGAGCCGCTAAAAGCTTCTTTTTAGTCGAAATACAAAATATAAGTGGCGCGAACCGTTTCAATTTTTTATAAAAGTAGTTTCTGTTCTGTAGTTCAGATCAAAAAAAGAAACGAATGCAGTTCATAAAGTACGGAAACAAGAAATGACCCGTCGGCATACCCGCCACCGAGCGGTGGAAAAGGCGGCGCATACTAGAAAGGAGTAGTGGGATCAGGCGCCGACACAGAGAGGTCACGGATGTACGCGGCGGCGCTGCGGTCATTTGGGCAGGAGGATCCGAGCGGCTCCGAGCGTTCCGAAGGCCTTCGACGAGAAGCTTTGTCTTGCGGTTTGGCTGTTTTGCGGTATGGCAGCGCAAAGTAGCTCCCATTCTAAACTGATCTCTACCCCATGTTTGCTGTTGTTTGTGGCCAATGAAGTGTCATGCCGAATTAGTATTTAATCGTGCAGCAAATGCAATGAAAGCCGCTGTGGCTGCTCGCTGCATGCAGCCTACCCAGGACACGCTTCGATGGCGCCCTCTCGCGCCGTCGACTCGGAGTGCGGCAGCCATGAGCGCTCGATAAGCTCACTACCCCTCATCTAGTTCACGGCCACTCTCAAGCAACCAATGACGTCATGAGGGAGGTTATTTTTTGCTTGTTTTTGTAATTTTAATTTGCCTATGACTTTTAAAATAAAGGGAATTTCGAGAAAAGAAAAGTTTCACTAAGTTACTACTACGTTCAGTGCGCTCAGGTTTGGTGCAAATTAAAAATTAGTGAAAAAGTCATTGCAGGGCCCCTTTAAGGCCCCCGTTCACACTCTTGTGACCTCTCAGAACTGGGTGCCTTAAAACCTCGTACGAGAGGACACACTGGCGCCATCTATTGGGTAGCAGCGTAAACTTTGCGGCCCAGCATTATTTCAATTTCTCTCGCGCATTATCCTTTTTTTCTTGGCTCGAAAAACTTGTTTCAACGTTATAAACGAGCCTTTCTTATAGGTATTACGCACATTTGACCTCGGAAATCTTGCAAAACCTTCGCTCTTGCGAAATGCAGTTCCAGGGCCACCGCATAGATGGAACCAGCGCGCCAGTGTGTTCTCTCGTCCTAAGAAATTTTAAGAGGTTTCAAGAAGTCTCGTCTCTTTCGGTCGTACTCGGTTACAAAAGTGTGAATGGGCCTTTACTCCTCTGTGGAAGCATGTTTTTCCAGAAAAAAAAAAAGAAGCTTCTATTTTGTTTTAGGAAGTGGACTGCACTTGTGGCATCTGCTATTCATTCCTTCTGGATGGCGCAGTTCCGGACGAGCTGTGCCAGAACTTCCGCTGTTCGCGGCCTTTCCACCAGAGCTGCCTCTCCGAGGCAAGTTTCGTTCCTGCATCATCACCTTTAAAAGTCTAAACACTAGACTCGACGCGAGAGTGCAAACGGCCATGCCAGTGTACTTTTTTGTGTTGGAAGTGGCAACTATTTATGTGATTACTTCTATTCATTTCCCGTTTGAAGCCATGATTCCTAAGACTGGTGGACACACTTTTCACAACTTATAATGACCTCTCACGAGTTCGAAAAAAATTTTGACAATGTTATAAACGACCATTTCTCATAGACAGTGGGTACATTTGTTCTCGAAAATGCCGCAAAGCCTTCGCTTTAATGAAATGTTCTTCCAAGGCCCTGTCATAGATGGCCCCAGCTTGTTATTGCGTTCTCTCGTCCCGAGAGACTAGAACTCGGTCCTTTGCAAATGCAAGTGTGTGAATGGGCCTTAGAGTTGTGCAACAATTTCAGTGCTTTGCTTAAATAATTTGGCAATTGGTGTCTCGACCTTTCTGAAGTAAAGAACAAAAAACCGCTTTTGCCTGCATGTCTTACCGTATTTACTCGCGCATAGGTCGACCTGTTTTTCAAAAATCGCCTCATCAAAACTGGGGGGTCGACCAATACGCGAATCCCGGTATTATATTTTTCAACTTTTTTTTTTTTTCGGGGGTCCCGAAGTTAGGGGGTCGACCTATACGACGTATCGACCAATATGCGAGTAAATACGGTAGTTTTTATTTTAAAAATGGTCAGAGATTGGGGTTTTTGGCACCTTTCAACTCTTTTACCATCTTCCGAGCCACGTGCGCTGTGACGTGAAAGGGGGACGTGTGAGGTTCCGGTGAAGCTCTCACTCTAGAGCCATCAGTGAGCAGCGAGAACTCACCTGCTCGCGACCGCATGACCACGTGCTCGCGCAGCGCGATCAACATGGCGAAAGGAGGAAAATGCCAACGTGCCTGGGTCCAGCCATCCTTGTCCGGCTGTGCCCCTGTCCCCCTCCGGCTTCTGGCGGCTGTTTGCAGTAGCAGATAGAGCTGACGGTTTTCTTGACCTTGGATAGATGGCGCCACTAAAACTCGACATAATAAAAGTTTTGTCGATGATACCAGGTTTTGGACACATCTATATTTATGCTGGAACGACAAGATTTATAGAAAAATTACCTTTTATTGAGCAGGCACTATTTGATATTTATCGAGCAGGTATTCAGTGCATTGCCTCAACGCAAGAGAGAACAGTGCTATTTTGCCTGCCTTCCAGTGGATGAGGTCTCTGCCCATGGTCAGACAGAACTTCAACATGTTCTTCGGGGAGTGTCCCTACTGTTCGGAGGTGAGAGCAGCACTACACTAGTTAACTTCACCCTGGTGATGCAGACCCCTACTACCACAGCGGTACTTTGATAGGCCCTTCTCGAAACCCCATCAAGCAACACTGGCGGTTGCCATTTCTTGGGCACGAGGCGTTGTGATAGGATTCGAGTCCTCGCTGAACGCCGACACAGCATTAGTTTTTGATACTGCGACTCGGCCCTCGTGTCCAATACGTGCTTAGATCATGCGCCCAAACAATGGCGGCCTCGGATAATCAGCGCATCAGCTACTAGATGGCGCGCACCTTCGAAAAGGGTCTATTTTTGGTGTTGCGAATGTTTACTTGTGTCGACCCTGAACAACCCCGAACTTTCCAGAGCTTTAAGCTCGTATACAGACTGTTCTAGAAGTTGGCGAAGAAGGTACAGGCATTCGTTTCGTGTACGTCCTTCAATTGTGCTGCATTGCTTTTATGCCCTCTGCACACGCCAAACGTGTTCTGTTGTTTTTAAGGGGGGTTCGATTCAAAACACTTTTTATTGTGCACCTGTGGTGCTGTTGTGGCTTTTCCCCGTATATACTAGCTTGGTACACAGCGCAAGAAAAGTAAACTTTGATTGATTGATAGATAATTCCTGAAAGGACAAGCCTCTCATCAGCCTGTCGTAGCAACCACAGCCCTTAGTCCATCTTCTTTGTTTCTCTTACGGCGCATGGCGGGCATTGCCTAAAAACTAAAGATGATGAAGTATCTGGAAGACAGCACTATCAGTTAGCCTGTCCAAAAGTCAAAATTGAACCAAGTTTTCAGGATACATCTAAATTGTGAAACAATACGTACCAGCGAGGGTTTATCAATGCTTTCATATAACTTGTTCTTGTTAAGCCAACATCAATGGGTGCTTTCCCAGTTATCGGATATCATCATGGTTTGAGTGCTATATGAGTGTTCTTTGTGTATCTATGTGCTTGTGTAAATTCATTTGACTCAAAAATAAACATAATTTGATCTCCTTCAATGACTCAAGTCCCTTGGGCAGTGCAGTATAACTGGAATAACTAAATGTATCGGCCAAAAATTCCCGTGAATGTAAAACCAGTGCTTTTCATTAGGTTTCGTCTGCGATTGCTTGCCTAGGTAAACACGTATGAAGTGCAAACTGCTGATGGTATATATATAGCACTTTCACAACTTCTTTTTTTCTGCAGCCGATGTCGTGCAGGATGTAGGAGCAAAGACGTCGCAAGGCATTATTGTCCAAGGGAGAAGATGGCCGCATACTGACGTTTATATGAGTCGAGATAACTAAGTTATAGTAGTGTAGAAGCTGAGGGCTTTGCAGTGCTTCATAATTTGGAAAAAGATTCTTGCTTAAGTCTTGAAATTGATTCTTTCACTCTAGATAACAGTCGAATTATGTACTTTTGCAATCCCAATTGTATAAACAGTCAACATCTGCACAACTGCACTGTTGAGAAGTAAGAGTGCTCTGTACTTCTGCTTTAAGTATTTTGTAAAATTTTACTATTAGGTATATAATTGTACTTAACTTACACAGTACTATTGTCTAGGACTTTATGGGGAAAATATAATAGAGGGCTCCTAAGTAAGCGTCCAATGATTTTTCACGCCAACTTGTGGACGAAGCAATGCTTAGTCAGTCGTCGCACGATACTGGGAACGAACATGAATGTTGCTTCTGGCATTTGTATGTTACCTTGAGTGATCATTTCATCTTCAATGCATTGTAGGAAAGAAATTGTGTGGTCTTTTGATATATTTACCTGCTTTTGAAATAAAAACACATTGACAAAGCAACAGCACCTGTTTAATGTGATTGATGAACTTGCTTCACTGACTAGGGCTTGCTGGTTCATGACAGTGATGAGAACAATTTATGCAGTGATGTGATTGCTGCGGCAAACTGTTCCAATGTGCTTATCCTGCTACATTTTACCAAAATGTGAGGACTTTGCGTTAACGTTGTGCCAAAACTTAATTTACCTTTAATAATACTGAAAATTTAAAAGCCCAGGCCTCTCTGCCCGGCCGGACCGTTACGATATGCTTATGAGAGTTCTTAGAACTTTGGACTATTTTCTTAAATAATGTACTGCTCAATTTCATTCCGTACAAAAGGCTGACAGTACTTGGAAGTTTTGCAATAGTTCTCATATTTGTCGTCTGTTCTGCTGGAGATTAGCTAGTCTTGTTGAGCGCACTTCTTCTCGCGGAGCGATGCTCTGCAGAGAAGCGAAAACCACAAAGTAAGCATCGCAATTTTGCGTGTCTTGCTTCGCCACAGCGCACCCCCGTGCTAAAGAAAGAGCATTCCTCCAGAGCAAGACGCGTCACAATTCTTGAATACAACTTCGGCTTGTATATAATAGATAGGGCTCCGTGTTTTCGGAGTTTATTTTTTGTGAAATTCGGAGGGTGTTTTTCGGAGTTTATTTTTTTAGCGAAAATTCGGTGTTTATCGGAGTTTATTTTTCGTAAATGCCCAATTCTCCAAAATTCGGAGATTAATTTCGCAGTATTTCTTATTAAAAATAATAAATAATAACCGGATGTAAACGTATGCCAGATAAAAAATAAAACGCGCTTGTATCAATTAAGATTTCTTCAGTTGAATTTGGCGTTGGTGTCGTCGGCAATACTAATTTGTCCCACGACAAAAGTCGCACACAAGTGTGGCTTCGATAAACGTCGATACCTTAAAATCAATAAACTGCCGGATGTAGCCGCAAGGAAGCTCGTAGTCATCCCATCAATCTATCCCGCGGCCGCGCGAGGTGGAGTGGTTAAGGATGTAATAGAGAAGTTTCAACTTCCCCTCTTCCCTATTTTATACAATCTCTATGGTCCATAGTTTTCACTGTTACCCCCAGAAACATACCCTCTCCTTTCTTTAAAATTTAAATCCCATGGCCCAAACTGGAAGCCAAAGGAGTGGCTTTTGTCGTGACACGAATGGTACGATGACCTGTTTCCCTTGAACCAACCTTGACGACACAAGCCGTAAGACCTCCTTTTGACAATAGTCCGAGGCTTGAAAGATAATTATGGTGTCTTTTTATGCGCTGCTCAAATTGTAAAAAAAAGAAAACAGAAAAAAAAAACTTTTTTTTTTGTAGTGGAAAAAAAAGGGGGGGGGGGGGAGGTGGCATGGGGCACATAACAATTCGGAGTTTATCGGATAAATCCGAATTCACAAAAATTTTACCGGTGGGTGTTTTTCGGAGTTTTTCGTATTTATCCGAAAACACGGAGCCTTAATAATAGACTACGATATCCTGGCGATACCTTTTTCCAAATCGAGATTTAGCAAGGATACTTCGGTATTGCAAGGACATTCATATGTGCTCTTTCGTATGTTTATTTATTTATGCCAACTTATTTGTTTAGCTATGACTTTTATATAGATGTGAGTAAATTAGAACTAAGTTGGCAGGAGCAGTGGATGGACTCTCGGGAAGAACCTTAAAGAGCTCGACAGGATTGTTTTTAAGTTTTGTTCGCATGCCGTTTTTGTTATAAAACACACAAAACATAATTGACGTTCATATTAAAATGACAAGTGCTTTGTTTTTCATCTGAATTAAGAATTGCTGTTTTATCACAACCTTTAGAACTTGAAGAAAGCATTAATTTATGGGCTAAATAATATTGTATTATTTCACTGGCATTCAGTACCTAAGATAACTATTCGAAGCCGTCTGTGCTGTCCTTCATCACTCACCCTGTCTGGTACTGCTCCACACAACTAAATGCTAGTTTTGCGTTTGAAAGACTCGCTCCTGCTGTGGAATTGATGATAACAAAGAGTTGCACGTCAGTGAGAAGTCAATGAAGATATTGCCTTTTAGTTGGACATGCCAACACGTTAATCTTGACATAATGTCCGCGTTAGTATAGAAAAAAAATGATGCTGCAAGAGTTATTTTTGCAGCTCCAAAATGGACTTTCGGCTGCTCCAAGAGCTGCTCCGAAATGGCTTGGACCAATCACATCATTTTTTATGTTTAAATCTATGTTCGTCCTTAGCCTCTATGGTACCCTTGCCGGAGTGGCGGTAAAGGGAGCCCCTTTATAGGGACGATACAAATATGGTTTGGAAGAGCCCGTCGTGCAAGCTGAGAATATTCCATTGCTGTCGGCACCTAGTGACCACATTGCTCGTCAATTCATGTGCAACTCGTACGAGAAACAAGCTGTCGCAACCCAGAAGGACGTGCAGGCTATACTTGGCAAGGTTACTGGGGACCATAACCAAAACTTTCTTTGGTTACATGTGAATGTTACACTGTTGTTACACTGCAACAGTTAACATCTACAGCAATGCTCTGCTTTAGGCCTGCTTCAGATGGGGCGACTTTCTTAGCAAGTTTAGGGTTGCTGGCGGATTGTTCTCTAGCCTTGCCTAGATTGACGTGAATTGCCGAGATCAAGTCTGGCTTAAAACAAGTGAGCAACTTGAACATTTAAAGCAGCAGCAGCCAATCAGGGGTGTGGCATTTTCATATGATACCCCGTGGCGGTGATGATGACAACTAGAGACTTGGTTCTGGTTTTAAATTTATTGTTTTTGGAAGAGTTAGTACTCTCAATGCCAATTAAAGGTATGAAAACAGATTTGTAGCACATAACTGTGCATCTAAATAGTGCAAGAAAAATAAAATGTAATGACAATAATGGCAAATCGCAGCAATTGGTTGCTGCGTGTGAATGTGGGCGGCCCGTGTTGCTGATGTTGCGACGTCAAGTTGTTGGGAGAAATCGGCCTGTCTGAAGCGGGCCTTATGAAACAGTGTAGGTGGTGTTGGCAACCAGGCGACCATTTGAGTCGAGAACATGTACGCCTCCATCGTCGATGCTCTAAACAGCCCTCTCGGAGCACCTGCCTGAAGTTTAGTGCCACTTTCCATGGAGTAAATTAACACAGGCCCGTTGCAAGTTCATAAATACACACACATCTCTTTATTTATTTATTTCGAAAACACGGGTGTCGTAATGGCTCTTTGTAGACGGCACAACACCAATGACACTGTACACTGCAGACTTGGATCTCTAGCAACAAAAACAAAAAAAAAAAGGGCTCGACACTCCTACGTTATCCCCTCCCCTGCAGGGAGACCGGGTGCTTCACAGCTTGACATGTTTTCGATGCCACCAATACAAATTTTAAGCTTGGTGGCAGTTTGCGACATGCTACGTCAGTATTAATTTGAATAAAAGTCCGAAAGCCATCTGCGCACGTCTAAAGGCCGTGTGCAAATGGCTTTGGCTGTTTGCATGGTTTTTATGGCTAAAGTCATCTATCTGCTAACGGCTGAAGGTCGTGTATGACCTTTAGCCGTGTGCACAACGACCTTTTGCCATTAGCATGGCTAAAGGTTGTTGCTAAATCCAGGTCTAAAGGTTGAATCTTGTCGAAGCTGCGCTAGGTCGCAACCTGTCCCGAAATGCAATCACCAAGATTGGTGATTGCTGTCGAGACCATGCAAGAGCCAATAACGCACATTCTCATCTCATCTGCAGCCACACTAGCAGACCTTGTAGACAACCCAGCACCAGATAGCTTTTCTATGTTTTCAACTGTGTTTACCAAACAAGACTCACAATTTTTTTTTTCTCAGTAGCTCCTTTTTTAGTCTAAAACAAACTGTTCGGCCGGTCAAGACGGAACATTCCATTTCGAACTACGCCTTAGAAGTGGCACTCGTGTGCACTGAGCTATTTTAATTTTGTGAGACTTGGCTCAGTGCTTTCCCAAATTCTCGCCACCTCGGTTCTGCGCTACTTCGGTTGGATTGCTGCAAGTCGGAGAATGGTAGCAGCTGTTTCCAGTATCTAAGACACGCTAAACACACCGAGACAGATGCATAATAAAAAGCGTGAAACTCCTAAACGCGATTTGAATGGAGTTTGCAGAAATATGTCGATAGTTGAACTGTGCTGCGTGGCTGCCTGTTTGGTATTGCTAGAGCCGTCTCCACGAAAAGGAGATGCGCCACTGCGAGTTACATTTATCCAGCACAAACACCTCCTGTTTGCCGCCGCTACAATTCAACTGCCTTGGCACCGACGTCCGACGCTACCCGTTGCTAAAAACAAGTTGAAACTTGTAAGACCCGACAAACAGACTACAAAGTTTTTGCTTTCGTCGTCCATGGACGCCGGAAACAAAAAAAATGACATTTTCTAGACGAGTTTTTTTTACGACTGCCGTGACACTTCGTCTAGAAAATGCTCCCTGCATACGAAACTGTCCGAAGCATGCAAGACAACCGGCGCACCTTCCTCGTAGGGACAATCGAGCAGCCAAACAGGGTGCCACTGCAATCTCTGGGAATGTGTAAACAAGTATTGCTCTCCTTGGGCACCGGCTTTGTCCCTGTACAAAAATAATGCAGACGTCTTCCACCCACATCTCGATTTGCGTCAGCACCGAGCAATGCCCGTCGGAGCTTAATATTCACCTGAGGAAAAATCTGAACGAGCTGCCTTTCTACGCTGGGCCAGAAGATGGTTTAGAAGCCGACTTAAAGAAAGCATGAAAGCTGGCTTCTAAGCTGTCTTCTGCTGGCTTGTAGGCCAGCCTAGAAGCCAACTTAGCAGACAGCTCAGGAGCCAGCTTTGACAACAGCTTAGGAAACAGCCTAGAAGCTTGCTCAGAAGACAGCTTAGAAGGCGGCATAAAGCCCAGCCTCGAGAACTGCCCCAAACAGTCTAAGAGAAACCTAACAAATAAATTTGAAAAGCAACCTAAGGGTCACAAATGCAAAATCTGCCCTGCATCTGAGATGGAAAGGACAGCGAGTGTTGAAAATGGGAACATCACCGAGAATGAAGTACAAATGTAAAACACCGACTGTACACTACGACAAAAAATACTGCCGAACCAAACTCGTGCATCAGTAAACGCTAAAACTGCCGCCTAACTAAAAATCCGCGAGGGGAAAAGGGCGTTACGGTGACTCGCACGACCTTGTGTTTGTTCGGCGCGGACCTGCCTCCCTTGTCGGCAAACACTGCTACCACTGAGAAACTAAGACAAACAGAGTCCATTAGCTCTTTCAGTAAAAACACTCCTGTCGCTGACCCAAGACAGCGTTGAAACCATGACAGCTTGACCCGAGCTTCGGCAACTTGGGTGCAATCGTTTGAGATTCACCGAGAATCGGTATCGGTGGTTCCGTTCGGAGAAGCTAGTCCCTATCCTTTCAGTAAAAGGCTAACTGACTGCATGCTCCACGAACGATAAGACTACCAATGAGAAAGAAGTGAGTGACTAGCTGCTCTGCGTGCCTCAATTTTCCGTCTGACCGTAAAGATACCTACCGTGCCACAAGGCGTTCTTGTGTTTTCTGGCCTACGGGAGGGCAGCAATACAGCCGAATGCTCGTCGCTCCCTGGCAACATCTCGGGACGAGAAGCTGTCGGCTCTTCCAAGGTGCTACCTCCCCGTTTCAAGTTGTTGTGGCTGAATTCCTCCGACTAGTCCTGCAGCGGTGCCCAAGATTCTTCTCGCTAACGGGGCTCAAAGTGGCACACCACTGTCACGTCGTTAGTGTGCTGACAACTGCGCCCTCCGATTATCGAAATGCAGCGAGAAACGGTGTCACGTAACTAAAAGACGGAACCAACCTGCCGAAGTCGCACGTGCGACTGCATCGAGTTCGTGGTCTCGGGTGCCCGTCGCGTCCAAGTGCCGTCGTTTCTCAGTTTGATTGACGGGTGTCGCCACCGTTGCCGGCACGTCTAGTGAAACCTGTATTGCCGTGCTGGTTTTAGGGTGACGTAGGTCCGCTTCATGTCATCGCTCTCCTCCCGCTTGACCTCCGAGTATTTCTCCCCTTTGACGCTGACGATTTTGTTGTCGCGGTAACGTATGAGTTTCTTGGGCTCCTGTGGGCGAGACAGAATGTTGCCACAAGTTAGCTTTGCTCTCTTCAGCTTATGCAGGCACCTTCCCTGCTTTTCGGCAGGTTTATAGCATCTGGTGCCAGATGTTCAAGCAGCTTTCAACGCTTGACTGGTTTTTCACTGCCTCGTCGTGTTTGGCCGTGCAAACGTTTGGAAACTTTGAACACTGACTTGGACATTGGTGCATTCACTTGGATCTCCGAATCAAATAGTGGTATTATAAGGGCTGATGTTCAGATAATTTAGAATATTTTGAAAACATTTTATGTCAAGCCACTTTAACTTTGTCGAGAGCATTTTTCCTTCGCACGTCGCAACTACGTCTCTGTTCGTGTTGCAACGCTTTCCTGCTCTAAAAGTGAAATGTCTTTATTTGAACATTCAACATTTGGCAGACTATTTCAACATTTGGCAGAAAACAGTCTGCCAAATATTGTTAATTAAGGAGGGACACTACCCAGAAAAGTCAACTTCTGTACCGCTTGCTTGATTTCAATCAAATTTGCAGCGGAAGTTTATGAGTGGCAAGCCCATCCCTGCCAAATTTCATTGTCCTATGTCAATTCTGAAACTTGTGACGAATGTTACAATATGAAAGTCAGTGTGTTTGCTTAGAAAAACTAGCGTTTTAAAATAAAATAAATATTCACGATTTTTATGTGGAATGTAGTCGTAGGAATACCCATTGCACATACCCAGCTAATTATTTTGCTATATTGCACTGTTTTTCGTAAATATAACTCCCTAAAAAGATTAAATTTTTTTTCATGTCTGCACTTTTTACAAATGTAGTTTTTTTAGCGTAAAAGAATGTTAAAGTAGAAAAACTAACCAGCCAGGCATGTTCCTCACAAAATTCTACCCTAGAAAACCACCTAAGAATAATTCTTTATTGTGTAGTAGAAAAACGACAGTTTTCCTAAAGTGAAAATTATGCCGAAAAGTGGAACAGAGAAAAATGCATTTAAAATACTCCAACCCCTACCTTTTCTTTAGCATTGGTGGACCGAAAATAACTTATCAAAAATTAACTATATATACAGTGTAAACTAATGAAACTTTCTATGAATACTCTCTAGATGTTGGTGGATGAAAATATGGCGTTTTTTCAAAATCAACTTTTTTTTAAGAAATTGTTTTTTGCGGGTAGTGTCCGCAAAAGAAAAGAAGAAAGTATGTTCATTCTCAACCCAGTCAGAAGCAGCACGCTTGTCTAAAAGAGTAGTTAAATTTTGTAGAAATTATTGGAATTCAGCCTTTGAAAGCACCCGTTCTGATTTGGAACCATTAAAACAGTGTGACCCTTCAATAGACGCTTTGCAAAAATCCCAAAAGCCTGCGCGTGCCGAATTATGGGAGTCTGATATGCCCCCCCCACCCTTAGTCTTTCCTCCCGCTAACATGTGGTATAGGCGAGCAGGCGCAGGTTACCATGGCAACAACGTTCAAGCAGCCAAGAGCCGAGTCGGACAAGCGACGAGCGCACGGAAATCGGAGAGAAGGTATCGCGTTGGCTATTTTGCGAGGCTGCCCCTATCTCATCCCTCTCCTTTGCACCAACTCAGTCGTCTGCTGCACCAACGCTTTGTCGAACCTAGCCGAACCCTACCGCGTTCGTGGTGAAAAGTAAGTGGATTAAGCGACACTGCCAGACGGAAAGGTAAGTTACGACAAACAACGCATTCGATGAAGGGAATAGCTACACCTGTCGCGATGTGTTTACGCTGACACTGCGCCGCCAATGACGTACGATGTTCCGGCAGATAGGTGGGATGGCGGATGGCTGTGACAACTGCTGGCGCTACTCGGGCGCAGTAGCGACGAGAAAGTGCGTGATCTGTGCCGAAGGTTCCCGAAATACCCTGCCGTTGCGGCGCCGTACGTTTTGCAACAGGTCTACTCATGCTTGCCTCAATCCCAAATATGCCGCTTGCACATGTTCCATTCAAATTCTCTTTACACAAGTGCAACAGATTTTACAAACAGTTGCTGACAATAAATAAAAAAGCTATAGTCAGTTACAGGTTAAGAAGGTAGCGGCAAATGCCCCTCAAAGGGAATCGGATATCCCTCCGCCACCTTCGCATCCAACAGCGTCCCACCGTTTCCGTGACGTCGCGGCCAACGCGCGAGGAGGGTCTTGCCTTTCTGTACATATTTGTTTTATCTTTCGACTTTGACTTAGCATTGTGGAACCCCCGAGAGGGAGATTAGAGTTCTCCCCCACCGACGGAAACAAATGCGACCTTCGGGGATTAGCTTCCCCCCCGATGGATACAAAGGCTGCTTTCAGGGGCTCGGTTCCCTCTCCGATGAATACAGAGGTCGCTTTCTTAAAAAGTGGGATCGAAGACGAGTTGGAATCCATTGAAGCGGAACAAGGAGCGTTTCCAGTGAACTCTTCTTTCGACTGCGGAGAGATTTGAAACGGGCGCATCACACTTGTGGGAGGAGCTTCTCCTACCTTCTTGACTTGTAACCGACTATAGTTCTACATCTGACCCTCCTGACAATGCATTCCTGTTGCCCCACCTTATCATTGCTGCAGTTCAGCACATCTTTGGACATTTTGCTAAACCTTCATACTTCCGATAAGTCATACCGTTTTGGGTGCCACGGGCCTGTGTTCCTTTCCGTCCTCGTCCTGGTCAATGTAGCCGTATCTGTTGGGGAAAGAGGAGCTACCGTTTTATCCTTTCCACACGGGGTCACCCCCACCATTTCTCGATTTTACAAAGAGACCATGCAACTTCCTTCGGCAGTTTTCGAGCGAATTGTGCACTTGCACAGCTTTGATTGGCTCTCGCACACGCGACTGCCCCTAGCTGTGGCTACACTGGCACAGAACGTTCTCCCTATGCATGTATAAACGTAGGCGACATTTATCGGATCACGCCCGGTGCGACTGATAAATACCGCCTACGTCCATTAAACTATCTTCTTGTTTCTCTGCACGGCATGCTGTCGACCGCTTCTTTATCTTGATACGACACACACTTATAATTCGTTTGCCGCAACATAGACCTCGCAAGTCTTAAAAAATTGACTCTTTTCGAGGTGCTACCCTAAGCACACCTTCCATTCTCTTTACTTATTGGTGCATTTGGACCTTTAACAGGCATTCCCTTATCACTCCGACACTGAAAGGCGCAGTTCAATTAACACGCGCAATTCGTGGTTCATGATCCAGCCTCTAGTTTCGTGTTTCCTGCGACGTCGTCTGCTACAACTTCAAGACCATTTTTGATGCACGGGCGGCGTAGGACGCTAAACACGCCCGTCGCGACGCATTTCAGGTACCCTGTTCTCTGAGCGTGCCTCAGTCTGCATCGACCCAAAGATGGCCGTCGACCGTTGCCGAGTTTGTTTCTGGCGAGCGAGGTTCTCGGGCGCATACCGGTTCCGCAACTATGGTCGCCGACAGAACGAGAAAGTTCGGACGTGTCTTTCGAACACCCGGCCTCCGCGCCTTCCCACCTGGTGAGAATCTGCTCCCGGAGCTCCTTGTCGCCCAGCGTGAGTGCGGCCAGCCCCTGACGCGAGGAGGAGTGGTGCGGGGGACCCCTGGAGAGCGTTGCGGGGATCCCTTCCCCCGCTTCAGGGTCCCTCTGCTCAAGCAGCAGCAGCTGGGCGGCCTCCTCGGAGTCCCCGCCGGCCACCCGCAGGCAGCGGCGCACCTCCAGCGAGCACACTCCGGGAAACATCTCGCACAGCGTCCGGAACGTGTCCTCGTCGCACAGTGAGGACTCGTCCTGCGGTTCGGGAAGAGGAACCTCAGCGGGCTTTGCCACTCTACGCCGATGTCGGGTTTCACTGCATTGCACCGGCAAGCGCACGTCAAGCTTCACCACTTTGCACTAGAGTGATGTGTTGGGCTTTACCACTTTACCAGTGTCAAGCCTGGTTGAGACACAGTGTTGGGTACAGTACATCTAAGAAGTACTTAAAGTAAAGTACACAGTAAATGAGGGGCTATGTACTTGAAGTGAAGTATTATAAGTGCAATGTACTTTTAAGTAAAATACTATTGGTGCAATGTACTTTCAAAGTAATGTACAAGTACTTTGTAACACAATCGCTCATGATGACTTTTCATTCACCTATACAGTGTCTTTTATTTTTTAACTGGTAGACATTGCCCTAGGGGTGATTGGGGGGCATCAGTTATTTTCAGAAATGGCGGCAAATATTGGATAAAATTCAGTCGCCAGAGAGTAGTTGTTTAACTCTCGTTGATGAACTATTTAACACATTAAACTTCTAAGGCACTTATTTGTATCGGTTCTAGCGCTACACAGAAATGACCGGATGACGTCTAAAAAATCAACAGTGCGTTTTCATGTGACGATAAACCTTTTTTTCATGCGAAAGCCTTACGTGTCTTATTACAAGAAAAGGCATCGGCGTTGTGCCCGAAAGATGGCCATAAAAATGTCATCAAGCATGCATTGCTCAAGGTCAAAGCAGACACCAAGAGAAGCACAGCAACGAAGAGGCTTCGTCACGGAATCCGTGAAGCCGGGGGGGAGGGCGCCGTCTCCACGCAGTGAGGGAGTGTAATGTCGCCGCCAGAGTGTCGTGTGCCAAAGGAAGACGTGACGCGCTGCCTATGGCCTGTTGGTTGCGCTTCGGACTTCATCTGTGCTTGTTGTGCTCTTCGTGCGATGGGCTGTGAGGCAACCGCGTCTACATCTACAGCCTCAACATCAGCAGCAGCATCTATGTCTACGGCAGAACCGAATACGTTACTGGCAGAAACAACTTTAGTATGTGTAGAAACATTACTATAAAACATTTTAACCGCAGGACTATAATGGTTTTGCATTCCTACACGTAAGCAGTCTTTCTTAACATTATTTTTTTGTCACTCAACCTTACTGGGAAAGCGAGCGCGTTATCTTTGAAGAGCCTAATTTCACCAAGACCAAACTCGGGGATGTACTTTCAAGTCGGAAGTTATGCTTTCCTTAAAAACTCCCAGAAAAAAAATGCCTTAAGTACTACTTGAAGTAGTACTTAATTTAAGTATTACATAGTACTTAAAGTAAAACGTTAGTACTTAAAGTACTTAAAGTAAAGTACTTAAAGTAAAACGAGAAATGGTTGCTCGTAATATTGTCGGAATTATTTCCGGGTCGTGGCGAAAGAATAACGCGTAAAAAACCGGGGAATATGTGCAGACCGGAAGTGGGCCAGAGCAACCCGAAAAATGGGGTCGGTGTGTTATCTCGTAAGCAGTCCTAAGCGAGCACAACGCAATCGGTCAAACTCAAATGCAAATGTGTGAGCCTGCCTTTAAGTCCCAGAGAAAACATGTAGAAAGGGCACGCAATGAAGTGAACTTCTTTACCTTGCATTGACGCACGTGCTTGTCGGGCATCTCTGCCATGCGGCAGCATGCTGGGAGAAGTGACTGGTCTGGGGGAGCTCCTTGATTAGCTAGGTAGGTTCGGAGGTATAGAGTGGGTGCTTTATGGTGTCCTTTGCTCATTTTTCAAACGTTTCAAAAGTAACAGGTGGGCGCTGTTTGTGACATGGGTGCATGCTCCATATTTTAGCCAACTCTGTCGACTAACCGCCTGCAGACGAGCCACCTCGTCCCAAGCATGGCACGCTACTTTGCTTCTGCCTCCAGGGTAAGCAGGCTCGTGCTCGAAAGCCCCCGCTGGAGAGGAGCACAAAAGAATTATAACGTTGGTTTTGGCATAAACTTTTATTTGCCATTTTCTCGATGGCTATATCAAATTTAGAGATAACAAAGAGCATGCCGGAAAGACTACAGCCTGGGCATTCCTAAAATGTGTTAAGTTTGAGGAGTAGACCTTTGCAAAAATCGCAAAAGAGTGGACGTGAATGCCTGCATGTAACATAGAAGAAAACATGCGTAAGAGAGATTAAGAAAAGTAGCGCAATTGCTTGCCTGCACTTGCTCGCTCGCCTGCATTTCCTTCGTCATCTGCCAACACTGGTTCCGTACAGACCGTTCCCGGCACTTCGGGCACCACGGAAAGCGCTACATGCTTTGCAAAAGATCTATCGAGTCCACGACAGATTGGCTCCCGTGGAGATTGAAGCTGCTCACTTGCCAGTTCTCACAATTTTTAGTCGGAGTCGATGTATGCATTCGGTCAGCAACGCGATCGGCATACTTTCGCCGGACGTTAGCAAGTGAGCAGCTTGCTCTCGGAGGTGTCAAACTCACGCAGATGGCGATGTGGTTGGGCTTCCCGGCGTCGTCTTCCGACTGGCTCACGTTTCTCGACCGCGACGCGGACTTGTTGGATGACGACCTGAGCTCCGCGGAGGATGGGGGCTTGGAGGGTGCCCATCCGTTGGGCTGTGCGCTGCTCCCAGTGTGCTTGGCTGCGGCATACCGTCTCCAGTCACGCATTTAGAGGCACTCCATTAAGAGGCACTCGGAGGCCGCAGCGAATGAATGCTGTCCATTGTTCGTCATGCAGACAACAAATAAAATTTATATTGCCGGGTAATAAAAATGTTGAAAAGAAAAAAATATATGCGAACCAATATTTATTTAAACTGAAGGGGTTAATCTTTAAAATTTCTGTTGCAACTTTTTTTTCTTTTAGGGGCCTTTTAGTTAGTCAATAAAATAAATTGCACTCTCGCCCATCAATGACACCCCTTAAAGAGACTCGTTTTATGGACTAAAATGTAACGGCAGCAATTCTGAGACAATCCCTCGGTGTCTTTGCACAAACAGAAAAGGATGCCTAAATTTGGGGTGGGCTATTTTTCAGGGGTGAGGCATCTCACTGGATATCATGGTACTTAGTTGTACTTATAACTTCACAAGCATGCTCCTACGTTTTCTACGGCTGACAAAGTGATTCCCCCAAAAATCGTTATCTAAAAAATAACCCTTCTTTTTTCTAGAATATATTTTCAATCAAAGAAAAAACAAGACAACCTTTAAACAAGACAACCTTTAGAGCGGAACACAATCCTAGCGCTCTTGAAGCATTGTGGAAAAACGGGAAATGGCCCCACCTGGCTGCTTCCTGACCTGGCCAGACAGCAGACGCACCCACGACGAGATCTTCGCGCTGCAATCAGAGAGCGCTGCCGTCAGGCCCCCAAAAGGACATTTCCCCCTCCGTCCCTTCGTCAATTCGTTCTAATTACGATATGCCGAGGCATTTAAAAGACAACCAGACAATAATTTTGAGAATCGCGGTAATGATGCGGCAAATACGAAAAGCGGGTTGTTTCACGCCCTGGCTTCTGGGCGATGGATTGGAGAGGCTCGCAGTAATAGCAGAATAATGAATGAAACAAAAGACCCCCAAATTGGATTGGGTTAAAAGTTTAAACCTTCATATCAAATATTAACATAAAAAAAATCATATTACTGCTGTTGCTAAACTAGACTGTTGCCAAACAGACGCAGAACTAGTGCAACGAGCACGTGGCTTGCACTGCGCCGTTGGCTTAGGGACGAACGGTAGGTTCGGCGACGTCCGCGAAATCCCCTTTGAACCCCGGTCAGAACATGGGAGCAGGCGCACTCACTCTCGGATGTGCTGGAAGCTGGGAATGTAGGCAGACAGCATCTCCCGGAACTCGGACACGTCAAAGCCCTCCTCCGCGATGTCCGACTCCAGGATGGCCACCACGTACGACAGCAGGATCTCGTCTATCACCCTGCAGGTGTCGAGGCCGCCCAGCACAATGCCCGGGACCACAGTAACCAGCAGGACCAAAATGGCGAGGTGTCTTTCGAACGCATGGCCTCCGGCACGAGGCGGCCGCCTTCTACTGTGTTTTGGCTGCACGTGCGCTCTCAAGGTTCGCGTGAAGCCGAGGTGTTATCGAAGGTACAAAGCTTGCACTTGAGGCAGAACAACCAAAAGACCTCCCTGCAATTCTCGTTCAGTGGCTATAGTTAGTTAGTAGTGTTGTGTGAATATTCAAATTGCAGTTTAGAATACTACGCTATTCGATTTTCACTTTTAGATGAACTGCGATATCAATACTTTTTGGAGTGTTGATCGCAACGGGTCAGCCTCGTGGAGTGCGCGTCTCACCGGACACCTTCCGCACTATGGTGAAGCAATAGTTGCAGAGCTCGGGAGCGCTGCTTTGCCGCGATGCACGAATGCTCGGCAAGAAGCATACTCAAAGGGGCTAACCCGCTGCGATTATGCAGATTTATGTTAGGCAGCAACGTCTCGACAGCCCGTGTTCATCATTCGTGCTTGCTTTTAACGCGTAGTGTTAAGGAGCTCGTGTCGCAAAAAAGCCGGCGTCAGTGGCGTTGCGACGGGAAAGTCCCGAGTGGTCGATAGGTTCATGATGTCGCAGCCACATGACTTTGCGCGGAAATTTCAAACAAATCACAAAGCTCTCGTGAATTGTGACGTCACACGTGAAATGAAATTGATTAGAAAACATGACATGTAATGCAAATTAAAGGTCGCCACAAGTCTCAAATGATTTCACTATAAAGTAACTCATATTTTAATAATTTTAGGTGGGATTCAAACCCACAACCCTTTGGTTGCAAGCCAGCTGAAATCCAAACAAAACATGAAGGTAAGGGATATTTTGCCGAGAAACTTAGCATCTTCGTGGCCAAGTCCGTTGCCAAAAACGTCAGCAGACACTCTGAGGATTCCGGTAGACAACTTTTCAAACTGATGTCGAAGGAAAATGAAAAGAAAAGACAGTGAAGCAAGTCAGCATGCATGGCTTCATTGTTGTGGTTTACGTTGATGTAATGATTCCATAGCGGACAAAGCTACCGAGAGACGTGTTCAGAAGAAGAAAATATTTAGAACACGGTTTCGATGAACATATGCACAGAAAACCAGAGAAATGTTTCCAAAACGCACGCCACAATAAATGGGCAGGCACTCATTGCTCTTTTCAGGAATTGCTGAGGAACTGCTGCCCTGCATAAACATGGGTGGATGACTCAGATTGACATACGCTTTGGTTTCCTTCATTCACGGTTTTGTGAAATTTGATGTCTTTCTTTTTCTACTGTTAGTGTTTATCAATGGGAGAGGAAATGTCATTTGTGCAAGCATTAGGGGAAAGTGCAAGAAGGAACGAAAAAAAGGGACCCAGAAAAAGAGTTGCAACTCCCTCTCCTGTAAAGCAAAACTCCAACATACTCTGTTGTGTCCTCCCCGGTCTCTCGCTGAATGAAGCAGACGAGGGAACTCTTGACGGACAAGTCGGTCGTGGACTCGTCGTCTGCATTCATGGCTCCACCTGCATGCGAGAGCAGGCGACCGGCCCCGGCCAACATCGGCTAAGCCAAGTCAAGTCACAAAGGGAAGCTTTCAGTCCTGAAAAAGAAACTGAGGTGGCCTCCACTTGAATTCAGCCGTAGCTGCGTGAAAACTAGTGAAAGCCAAGCCAGCCATGCAACAGGATGGCTGCTCAAACGGGTTGGGAATATGACAGTGACGAAGGGGTACCCAAGGCACTTCAATGTGAGAGAAGAAGGATAGAAAAAAAAGTCTACCCAGCCAATCCAGCTTCTGGAGAAGTATCCCGCTCCGATTTTAAGGACTTGTTTCCCACTTTTGGCGCTTACGTAAGAGCCAGCCTCCGCCGTCGCAACTCGGGGACACTTCTCCAGCGGGTATTTGCTCTCAATTCGAAGCATGCAGCTTCCGTTCGACCAAAAACCGGGTGTACGTCCGATTGCACTTTCGGAGGAGGCGAGGAGACGCCGGGTATCACACGGACCGGAAGAGCCCTTATACAACCGACAGAAGACAGAGGGAAATCGGTGCTCCCCGTAAAAAGTGGTACGCCGAGCGAAAGTTGTCGTGCGAGCTCTCCCCTCTTCTTTTTTTTTTTTTTTCGGGGTGACGCTGCCGATCGACCCAGATAGGAGACGACTCACGCAGGAAGGCGATCTCGTATGATGTGCCGCGCGAGCACCAAAGCCCAAAAGCGAGCTACGGGCGCGAGCTAGCCCGCGCTCCTTGCAAAAGCGAGCTACGGGTGCGAGCGCTCGTTCTGCAAAGGGACGTTTCAAAGCCGAGGTCTGGTGCTCTCGCGCTTGTAGTCTTGGCTGCATTCTCGGTGTGAACAGAGTAAAACAAAGCGCCGCACGGGAGACAAACCGAGAATACTTGTGGAGTAAAGCAAATTTGTTTGTTTGGTTTTTCGCTTTGTTTTGACGGGTGAACCGGGAGCCTAAACCAAGCTTTCGGCAGTATAAATAGCTGTTGAAAAACGGACGGTTTATAGCGGTATTGAAGCGCAGGGTCTTGAGGTATTCTTTTTTTCTGATCGGATATAACCGCGCAAGAAGCTGCAAGCGTCGATAATAACACTCGGGAAAATGCAGAGGGGTCCGGGTATTCAAGCGTGAGCGATAAATGAGCGTCAAGTAGTCACCTTTTGTTGGAAGAGTTGCAAAGAAGAGTTCTGGCGACGAGATGCTGTGAAGATGAGGAGACTGACGAGCGCAAAAATTAAAAACAAATATTTTGAAAGACGCATAGAACTGTGGCGACCCCTGTAAACAAATGTAACGCCTCCATCTTTGTTTAAAGAGGCGAGCTACAGTTAGGGGTGTCGCGAACTTTTGTCGAACCAGAGAGTTCGAAAAAGTCGAACCTGGTCGAACTCGACCCGCGGCCGGTTCGCGACACCCCTAGTTCTGATTACGTTTACTTCGAGCAGTTTAAAATGATTTAAAACGGTTAAAGGAGAAAGTTCAAAATGGAAAGGCATTTTGCGAGTATTTTTGCTAGAGGGGCCGAAGCAACCGAAGGAGCCTTTCACGATAGGGTCAATAGGGTCGCAGTTCTCCCAGTTCTCACTCCTACTCACTCCCCATGACTGAATAAACCCTTCAAAAGAATTGATACTACAAGTGGAGAAAACGAACGCACTCGATCCCGCTCACTTTTGTATCGCGCTGAATCAGTTGTGTTTTGGATGGTTATGAAGCGACCGAAGACAGCTGAAAGGTTGACAGTTTGACTGACGGCGTTCGCAGCGTGCGGTGGGCAGAATGTCGTCGGACATCCGTGCCCAAGTGTCCCGACTCCGAAGCGTCCTGAACGACATACACGAGCTGGTGGAGGACGCTGGGGAAGCAGCAGACAACGACAGCGTGCTCGCGCGGGCTGGCGGGCAGCTTAAGCTGGTCGCTGGCACGCTTTTAGAGATCAAGAACAACATTAAGAACTGTCGTCAGGAGCCCGGTATGGACAGCGACGGCTGGGGCGACGACGAAGACGACTTTGACAGAAGCATGCTGGACGTGTGTGCCAGAGCCGAGAGGTGCGACACCGAGAGAGACGCCCAAGACCCCGTGATCGACGTCCAAGACCCCGTGATCGACGACTACGACATCGAGACCGACGACGACGATGAAGTGGACAAGACTTTGGCGGTGACGACCGTTCCCGACGAAGTCCTTGAGAAAGAACCACCACCGTCCGAGGCGCATCTGCGCGCCCTGAGGACCCACTTCGGCCACACGGCGTTCCGGCCAATGCAGTGGCGGATCGTCCGCTCCGTGCTCGAGTCCAAGCGGGACAACTGCGTCGTGATGGCCACGGGCTACGGCAAATCTCTTTGCTACCAGTTCCCGCCTGTCTTCACGGGCAAGACGGCCGTGGTCGTATCGCCTCTCATATCGCTGATGGAAGACCAGGTCAGGGGGCTAGCGGCCGCAAACATCCCGGCCTGCCTATTAGGTTCGGCGCAGAGCGACAAGCACGCGGTCACCGACGGCGTCGAAGCCGGCCGCTACCGCTTGGTTTACGTGACTCCCGAGTTCGCGGAGAGTGGCTCGGCCATCTTCGAGAAGCTGGATGAACAGGTGGGCATCACCCTGTTCGCCATCGACGAGGCCCACTGCGTGTCCCAGTGGGGCCACGACTTCAGGCAGGCCTACCGGCAGCTGGGCAAGCTCAGGACCCGCTTCGGGCACGTACCCTTCCTCGCACTCACGGCCACGGCGACTCCAGTCGTCCGCGAGGACATAGTCCGCGCACTTAACCTCAAGCAGGTCGTGCTGACGTGCACTAGCTTCGACAGGCCTAACCTGTACCTAGAGGTCAGCCGCAAGGCGGTCATGGTGGACGATTTAAAGGATGTGGTGCCAGATGACGGCAGCCCGACCATAGTCTACTGCTCGACGCGGGCGTCGACGGAAGAGGTCTACAAAGTCCTGCTGAACCAGGGTCTCAAGTGCGCTGTGTACCATGCTGGGCTGTCGCTGGAGGTGCGCAAGAAGTCCCACGCAGACTTCCTCAATGACCGGGTGCAGGTGGTGGTAGCGACGGTGGCTTTTGGCATGGGCATCGACAAACCGGACGTCCGCAGGATCGTCCATTACGGCGCGCCAAGGGACATTGAGTCTTACTACCAGGAGATTGGCAGGGCGGGCCGGGACGGGCTGCCGGCCTCCTGTCGAGTCCTCTACTCGCCGGGGGACCTAGTGACCAACAAGTACTTCCTCAAGGACATCTCCAACCCTACCTTTCTGCAGCACAAGACAGACATGCTGAACAAGATGCAGCACTACCTGACCAGCACTCGGTGCCGCCGAAAGCTTCTCCTTGCCCACTTTGCCAGCGAGGAGGCCCAGCGGGTCGGAGGGACAGCCCGCTGCTGCGACAACTGCGAGCACCGTCTGCAGCGCAGCAACAGCAAAGGCGACCGGGACGACCGGCGGGACTATGCCAGAGAGGGACGCCTGCTGCTCCGCGTGGTCAAGGACACTGGACAGCGGTACGGGCTTGCGACACCCATTGCGGTTCTCCGGGGCTCAGTGTCGCAGAAGGTGCCGCAGTACCTGCGAAACGGTCCCAACTTTGGCGCAGGGAAGGAGAGGACGGAGGCCTTCTGGAAAGCCTTTGCGAGGCTCCTCATGGCCGAAGGCTACCTGGCGGAAAAGGCCATCCACAATGGCAAAATGGCCGATCGGGGTTTCTCGTCCCGTTTCCTCTCGTCCGTGGTGCTTACTCCCAAAGGCAGCACGTGGCTCGATCGCGGTAAAGACGGGCTTTCATTGGAGCCCACCACTGAACTGCTGGCCCTCGAAGAGGCAACGCGGCGCCCTCCCAAACCACAGGTCATTCCATGCGCTGACGTTCTCAACATCCTGGCGAGCAGACGGCGCGACGAAGACAAGCCCGCCGACTCGGGGCCATCGTGCGAGCCCGTGGAGTCGACTGAGGAAGAGAAGCTGCGGTCGGAGCTCTACTCTCGCCTTGTGGAGCTGCGCAACAAGCTGGCGGAGGGCTGTGGCTTTGCACCCTACATGGTCTTCAACAACCGGGTGCTCCTGGAGATCTCGAGGGTGTGTCCTTCGTCCCTGGACCAGCTGTCCAGGGTGGAAGGGGTCTCGGAGGCCAAGCTGAACAAGTTTGGGGGGCCCGTGGTGGAGATGGTGGCTCGCTTCTGTGCTGAACGTAAGCTCAACCCCCTGGAGAATGTTGCGGCCCCGCAGAGTGCGTCGACAAGTCTGGAGGCCAGCCCGTACCTGCTGCAGCAGCTGAGTGACACGCAGCAAACGACGTACGCGAGGTATCTGCAGGACAACCGGGACGTGTCGGTCGTTGCGACAGCTCGGGGGCTGGCGGTCAACACTATCATCACTCACCTTGCCGAGGCCTTAAAGGTGAGCCTCGATGACATTTCACGAAATTGTTCTCTATTACTTTTGTGCGTCTTAGCCATTGTGGGGTGCAGGAGTCTTGTCGAAACCAAGAAGTTCGAGGAAACAAATGCTTCCTACTGGCACTTTGCATTCTGTAACTGGACCTACCATTGGTCACCGTTTGAAGTGGTATCCACTTGTTCACTGCTATTCGTCTTAGTTACATTAAACTCCAAAAATATTTTTCTGGCGCTATCTGCCCGCTAAATGTTAAAAAAAAAAAATCCTTAATTTAGGATTGTATGCGACCTATTCGCCTATTGAAAATGTACTCAAACTTGAAACACCTTTTTTTTCTGGGAACATGTTGCGTTGTTTGATCACAAGAAAATAGGCTGTGCACGATTTTAATCTTGTTTTGTTAGGATGCTTTGAGGGTGTATTTTGGAACTCTGACTATTAAATAATGAACCCAAAAACTTCCAACAAAAGCCCCGTTGCTCTGGCAAGCGCTCGCACTAGAGCTTTCGCTCCACTACTACCACTTTAAAGGCTGTCACGCAAAAATTGCTTTGTCTAGATGAAGCTCTCCTCAAAGTTTCTTTCTCAGACTCTTTCTTTTCCTGGCTAAAAGGCTTCTTGTCCAGGAGCTAATCCCCACAGGTTCTCTCTTTTCTAGCTGTGTGTCTTTTGTAAAAACAAATGAACACCAAGCAATATTAACCTAGAGGACAAGTCGTGCACATTACCTGAAGGTCACATGACACTTGCATGGTTTGGGATTGCCTTGACTTCTGTGGGTTGTGGCGTCTGCTATGGTCCGTCGTAAGGTAAAATACATTAGGGGAGGAAAGGCCCTGGTGACTATAGTCATCGACACTGCTCAAAGAGAAACTGAAGCGGTTCTGCATTTAAGTAGAAATATGTTAATCGTCTTCATTAGGCCTCCAGGATCACGAATATTGAGATTACTTTTCAACTTGGTGCATGTAGGCTGCAGAAAGTCTCATTTTAAGTACCGTCAAAGCACTTCCTTCCCGGAACGTTACGTCGCAAGAGGAGATTTCGGAATCTTCGGTGCCCATCGAAGCTACGCACAGACACCCGCTATTTTTCGGGAAGGTCAGAAAAAGACGTCGTTACCGGTGTCGGTTCGGGGAATATACCTGGTAAGCTTGCAGTTGCACGCGCTGCCCACAGGAGCAACACGCGCTTGGTGGCCGAACAATTGTTTTACGACTAATGACTGGTCGGAGGTTTCTCGCGTTTGGTTGCGTTTAGTCACATCTTCAGGGAAACCGAACATGATATTCGGATTTACGAGATAAAAATACTCTAGAATTCACCTCTAACTGATTTTTTTCTTTCAAGATCCTCTTCAGCTTCCTTTTAAAAAACATGGTGAATGACAAATACGAAGCACCTTATTATCATTCCAAAGCCAACGAGATTATAGCATTAGCGATTTATTGCAGAAAGCTCATGTGGAAATGATAACTCTAAAGGCTGCTTGCATGCTCAATTTTATACGACGAAATTTTCGACAGGGTTCATGCAAAATTAAAGAAACTTTGTACTTTACGTTTACTCGCCCTTGTATTGAATATGCAGTGGTTGTGTGGGACGCAGCAACTTAATAGAAAAACTCGAAAAAATACAAAATGTGTGTGCAAGATTTGTTTTAAATGATTACCAATGCAGGGTGAGTGTCACTACCATTTAGGATAATTTAAAGTAGAAATCCTTCGTTGAATTCAGAAAAATATTTAGGTCAAAAATTTTGACACGATATGTTTAACACGTTCACCTTCTAATCAGTCGAGAAATTTTTTTACAGGAACCTTTTTATATATCAGGAAGGGCAGACCACCAGAACCAAATCCGACCCTACTTTTGCCGTGCTGTTGTTTTTGCTTTTTCTTTCTTTTTCCGAAGACAATAAAAGAATAGAATAGGTCGGCTATTGAAGGATGTTTGATGTGTATACAAGTTTGTTTGTGTTTCGATGGTCATGCTAGAAATTAATGTATTTTATGTACTCACCCCTGCTATAATGCCTGACGGACGGCGATGTAGGCCTCTGTGTAAATCAATAAATTTTAAAAAAAAGTTGTGAAGGACAAAGGCAGGAGGGAGGCAGAGACAACGTCACGGGGCAGTGGCCGACGCACGCGCGGATGCTGGGGCGAGTCTGAACTTGCAGGTGTGCAGAGTGCGTATGCTTGGTTTGTGCTACAAGATGGAGTGTGAGCCAAGTACTACTAGCGCTGGTCGGAGTAGGAGGCAAAAGAAGACGGATTGTGAACGAAAGAGACAGGCTGCCAAAGCAGCATCAGTGGATGCCACTGCTAAGCTTACAAGGCGGGCTAACGAGGACTCTTAAGGCCGGAAAAAGATTAAAGGAAGATCCATTGGTGGATCTTTAGGGAACGCCACAAATGTCATCCCCTTTTGGGAAATGCTGACGCTGACCTTGTAACGAAGTCAAAAAGAGTCAGCAAAAAAATAGAGGAAGCAAAAGAGAAAGCCAAAAGAGAAAAGTGAAGGGGTCAGTGTAAGCGTATCCCAAAGAGGGACGTGTGGCGTTTCTCGAGGGTCGTGCTAATGCATTCGCTAAGGATCCGCCAATGGATGGATCTTCCTTTAATTTTTGGCTGTCGCACAGACAAGCAAGTTGTCAGATTTCTTGGGACAATCCACGCTTGCATCTTCCAACACCAGGTGGGTCTGCCTGTGGACTTGGAGAGTCTCGGCGTCACCCCCCGGATCCTGGAGGCAGTAACCGAGGCGCTGAGGACGCTGGGCGGCGACATGAGCCGTCTGACGCCCGTCAAGGAGCTCTGTCCAGAGTACGTCGAGTTCAGCCACATCAAGGTGGTCTTTGCTCACCTCCAGGCCAAGTACGGCCTGCAGAACTCCCGGCTCTGCCTCCCAGACGCAACGGCGGCCCCCTCCGGTTCCGAAGCCACAACGAACGACAATTCTTTGGCCGCTGAAACGTCCGGCCATTCGTCGGCCTCCGCGAAGCTCAAGCAGTTTGCCGCAAAGCGCCCGGTCTCATCGGAGGAAATGATGACCGTCAGCAAGAAAATGAAACAGAGTAGTCTCTTCAGAAAGTAGCTTGGAGATGCGGGCCCGTGCACACCTCTGCGCTTGCATTTTGTACAAACTAACTAACTTAAACGGGCCGGTTCACCGGTCTCGCACCGGTTAACCAGCCCAGCGCCGCCTGTTTGGTGCCAGTTATCCGGTTTCACAATGACGGTTTGGCGTTGTTTATTCAGTTTGAAACCAGCGGTCCACCGGTTCGGTGCTGGCTAACCAGTTTGCACTGGCACTTTGCCGATTTTGGCGCCGGTTCACCAGTTCGGTACCAGTGGTTATCCGATTCGGTGGACATTTGTGTATGCGACTCGCACACAGCCCTGCGTATAAAATTCCCTTTTCCGGCAGAGAGTTTTGGGGCAAATTCGTTTGCATTCCACATGCGGCCAAAAGTTGCCAGTGTTTTAAAACTTGCATTTACATACCTCATGTTCGTGATACTCTGTGCCAACAAAATGTAATAAATGTAACTACAAAAAAAAAAAAAAAAATCTTTTCAGGATTTTTTTTTTTTTTTGAGACATTGGGTAGTTTTAGCAGATGATCTTCACTTTCCGCTCCGCTCCGAGCCTGCCCATCTACGCCGGCTACGTTCAAACTCTGAGCGACCGCACATGCGCAGAAGCAATTGCGCCGCTCCGTAGAGCGGAGCGAGCACACAAAAGCGGTTTACCTAAAACCCGCTATAATTTTCTAATACAACACCACTTTGTGTCCTCGTGATGTTCCACTGCTGCCCTTTTGGCACTCAAGACGCAACTTCATCTTCGATCCAACACACCCCCCCTATGTTGGACTTTCTGGATGTTTTAGATGTTGCTCAGGCCATTGGGTCCTGGGAAAGTAGCATCATTGCATTCTCTGCTAGCTAAACAGGTCCATACAGACAACCAAGACTTTGCAGAGCAGTTGGTTGAGGTGTGGCATTGCCGCGGAAATCGCCATTTTGGCCCTTCTAAAGTTTCGAGGCAGCCCTTCCAAACCGGCTGTGCCTAGATTGCCGCGACGCGTCGTCATACTGAAAGTATTCCTAGCCAATGTCAGTGTCTTTGACATTAATATCACCTTCTTCGTCCGGCTTTAGGATGGCATCATGCTGCATGCTTTTCCTGGAACACAAACATTGTTTCAATGCCACCAAGAATCAGCACCACATATGCTGGAGGAGCCACATGCTTGTTTGATGGCCTCCGAGAGTGACAACAAATGGTAAAAATATTATAACTTAAGTTGTGTCATTAGAGATATGTAAAATATTACCTATGCATGAATAACGGTACAGTGCAATCCACTTATAACGATAATGAGAAAACTTGAAAATGCATTTATATAACCGATTATCGTTGTATCTGAACAATAAACTGTAAGCAGTGATAGAGTGCAAGTGAGCTGGTAATTATTCAACATCTTGTAAACCCGGAGATGGGGAACGATAAAAAAAAGGACGAAACTGGTTGTTTCTAGTCTAGAAACTCTATAAATTGATTGTTATAAGTGGTATATCATTATATGTAGTATCGTTATAAGTGGATTGCACTGTATTGATTGCAGATCTAACAAAATAATGGCATATGAAAAAGTGCTTTTATGAAACAGTGTGTCACTGTGGCTTCGAATCTGATCGCTCAGAGGCCAAGGAGAAACTGCTCAACTCAAGGTCCAAGTGACTTTGGTGCAGTGTGTGCATTGATACCAGTGGCACTTTTTGTTTGCGAAACTAAATTAATTTTATTTTCGTTACTTCACTGTACACCTTTATCGCATCATTTTTAAAACTAGCTCCCCGCACCAGTTCCTCTTCCCCCACCAACTTCCCAACTGGTCCCTCTACTCCGCCGGGCAATCCTCAACAGCACCTTGCATTATAAAACAAGGCACAAAGCAAGCCTTCCTCACCACGGAATGAGAAAGATACCTGCAACGTCATCCAACTTACGACGCCAAACTGGAAAGTTTGCTTGCATCCACCTCGGGCTTTTCGACGTCTCGTAAATCAATTCATTTGCCGTGATGGTGACAGAGAGAGCTTCAATCCCGATGGCTTCAATCGTCAACGTTGGCTGTCGTTGATTTGAGAGGTCAGTGCACGCCCGGATGAGACTTGCCAGCGGTGGTCCGCGTCTGGAGGTATTGCGGACAAGCTGCGCGAGGCACTGTCCACAGCGATGGTTGGCTTGCACTCGCGGGGATTTCGCTCTGCGGGTCACCCGGCCATTGACGCCCAACGCCTTCTTGCACACTATGCTCGAAAGCGATGCGCCCGACCGTAGGACGAGGGGCGTCCGAATGCCCGCCTGGGCACGATCGTCTGCAAGCCGCGCTGCTCACAGCAGAAAGGAGAGCAGGCACAGATGCACCAGCAGAAGGTAGAGACCCAGGGCCAGCTGACTGCACCGCCAACGCCGCCCCAGGCAACGCCGCCTGCAACACGCAACGCGCCAGCTGCACTGCCTCGGACGCTCGCTCTGTGCGAGAGTCCCGAACAAACTTTTGACGCCTTCACGGTCGCAACTGCGACAGAAGCCAGTATGTGTGCCACTATAGAGACGTAAACACAAACAAATTGTAAAGTTACGCCGTTGCCAAATATATCGCAACGTTTTTTGCGAGCACTACGTAATTTTCTAAAGCCCATTGCAGACTTAAGGAAAAACTGGACGGGCCCCTCCCACAAAGCTCTAGGCTTTTTTCCACTTTAGCGGAGCGAACGCTCGAGAGGAGGACACTATTGATTATGACGAGCAGGGAGCTTTGTGGGCTTGCCGTTTTTAATTTTCTTAACCTGCAACAGCGTTTGGCTTTAGGGGGGTCATGCAACTGGTAAAGGTAACGCGTAACCTCCGTTTTGCACGTCCGACAGCAGTGGACAGAGAAGCACGGTGTTCACAGGTTTTTCCTAGGCCCTTAACCATGTGTCCTGCCATAAACTACTCCATAAATTTGAGCGTATCCTCAACAATAACCAAGTTCTGGCATGGCTAGAAGATTGCCTGGTTAGTAGAGTCATGTGGAACGATACGACATTGGAGAACTTATGGATCACGTGGGGAGCACCTTGGGTGGGTGTTTCAGACCGACACACAGTAGCACCCCGCTGATACCTTTTAGCTTGATACATTTTCCCGGCTATTCCATTCGCGCATGCCGGTCCCATTGAACTTTCCACAAGGACATGAAAAAATTTATTATTTGTCGTCATCAATCCGAAATATGCTGCGGCTGATGCAAGTTCAGGTCGTAACATGCACTCCTAGGAGAGGCCTACTGATGCCCGTGCACTTTGAAAATGAGAAAAGAGCAAAACAGGATCTCAGACAACATGGGGAGGTTAAAAGAGAGGAAGCGGTCTACGCTGACGAGGTCGCCAAGGTCAAGGTCAAATGCTAGGCTCTGGCTTGCCTCTACCCATTTCCGCTTGCTGTGGCCTTCTCACCACTTTTATTACAAGAACAAAAGCTACAAGCTGGTCACGCAAACCAACACTTGATATGTACCGAGCTGAATTAGGATCGTCCGAGAACAGACTACCGCATTACCACCAAGTTTTGCATCGGGTCTACTCCATAGAAAAATATTAAAAAATCATACGTTGAAATCTGCTCTAGGCTGCATGTCCAAGTCGACAATGTCCATCTCCTTTCACTCCTGCGTTTTGAGATTTTTTTCTAGCACTTGTGCATAAAACACTGATAAATCTGACTGCCTGTTTTGTTACAAATGGACCCTATACGAATATCCCAGAAAGCTACTATGCACGAAGCAAGCAATGAATTATGGGAACGTCCTGTATGCTCCTCCTTGCTCATCATCTACCATGTGACACTGAAAGGAGCAAGAGAGAAAGACGGCAGCGCACGCTTGCCTGCCCTCATCTTCACGCCTGCATTTCCATTGACACTTCCGTCGTCTGCTATAGCCGGTTCTATAGAGCCAGTTCCCAGCATTCCTTTTGGCGTCACAAAGGGCACTGCACGCTTTGCGAAAGGTTTATTAGTGAGAGGGGATTGCAGGAACATGTGACATTGATGCCAGCTCATTTGATTTCAACTCTGATAGACTTCCAGTCACCCTTGCCATTTCAGACTACTCAAACTTGTGCTAGCAGACCAGAGTCATGCGGTTTAGAGAAGCTTGTTTTAGCGAAAGCCGTTTTACCAACCCCAGTTTATCGAATTCCTTTATAGAGAAACCCAGTTTAGAGAAAATGGCGATGAGCCTCCTTTTAGCGAATTCGGCCGCCACGAAGCGGCGTGTGCGGATAAGTCAGGTGAGTTAACATTTTTGTAATGAGCCGCCAGAGACTACCGCCGCGAAGCGGCGGGAGCGCAGTGGGGGGGCTTGGGTTAACACGCGCACAAGTGATACACGCTTGAAGTAGAAAGCCCTTTTTTAAATAGCATCCCCTTTGCTATAAATGGCATTTCTCTAAACTGAGGCTCTGCTTTCTCTAAACTGTGCTTCGATAAAATGTGCCCATTATCTAAAACGTGCTTCGATGAAATGGCATTCTATCAACCGTAGTAAACCCCTAGCAGACCGCTTCGCCCATTCAACCTCCTGTGTTAAAACTCAAAAAGAACAATAAATGGCAATGTGATGGCAGAACAAAAACAAATAAGTAGTACCTCTCCCTTGTTTTCAAAAAGGCTTAGATGTGTAGAACACTCAGGCCCGAGGTCTCCCTGCGAAAAACCACCCGGTTCAGCTCACACACGCAGGGATAACCCTGTGACACTCATTGTGCAAACCAACACCTGAAATGCTGCAAAATGTTAAGCGGCAACCACACTCCTCTCCAGAGCCTCCCACTGCAAAGGGCAGCAAAAGGAGTAGAAACAAAAAATGGGCCCTTTCTTTTTGAAAGAGTGAAGGTAGCAGACAAGAAAGTGCATCGCCTGCTCGCTATGCCTGTTGGGAGACGGCGCCACAACCTACATTCACTGCTAATTGAAATTCGGCCGTCTGCGAACACGTCTGCCATTGACTTCGGCAAGTTTGTTGGTCTAATTTTTTACATGAAGAGAATTACGCTTTGAAATTAACACGGTAAAATGTGCCAGATCAATGTGCAGGCACTGATTTTTCCGGCTTTTTTTACAGCGCAAGATTCATTGTATGCACCTTGTAGTTGTGCAAGCGTGACTGCACAAGAACGAGCTAGGAACCCTTTCAGTGACCTATAAAGGCCTACTTAGCACGACAATGCAATGCACACCAAGCCATGGATACACAATTAGGCATGCATGAATAGTGGATTTTGGGTTTCAAGCGAATTCACAGCGAATATCTAGCGGTTTTGGCCGAATATGCCAAGCTTCCACCTGTCCAGTTTTAAGCTACGTGAATTTTAATCAAACCGGTATATTTATGCCAACAGTAGGATGGCAAGTAAACAATGGATTTGACGTAAAATGATGCCTGTAAAGATTCCCAGCTATACTTAATCAAAAGGAATCGTAAATCTTTTTGCTATATGAAAGTATACTTTCTTCAATGTCGAATTTGAAGAAAAAAATTAATTGTGAACAATAAAATGCAGGTTGTCAACACATCTCTGCCCAACATATACTCTTGCATAATAGCTACAGTTTTAGACTAGCATAATAGCCACTTTAATTATAAAAATTTTACTGCAATGTAGATGTTAGCATTCACGAAGTTTACATTTCTTGTTAAATACACCAGGCACATGCATGCACCATCCTTCTTTGAAAGTGCTTTTTCTCCCAATCACGCGACTGCGATATCCATACTTTTATAAGCGTTTATGGCAGCAGGTTAGCTCGTTGCTTCTTACAGAGCACCAGTGCACTGCAGAGAAGCAACACCCGTGGAGCTCGCTTTCGTGGGTGTTGCTTGTTTGCAGCACACCGGTGCTCGGCAAGAAGCGTGCTCAACGGGGCTACTCTGCCGTGTTCAACACTTCAAGAAGTATGAACACCGCAGTTAATCTCGAAGTGAATGTCGAATGGCGTATTATTCAAAAACCGCTATTTGAGAATTTGAATATTTGCACCACGCTACACACTACACTATTCGCTGCGATGTACTGCTTCGCTGAGAAAATATCTCAAAATATGATTCGAGACCTAAACCGACATAGAGTGTGCATGCAGCGGTCAGATACGATTCTTGAAGATGTGCTTAAACCTTTATCCTAAAAAAAAAAAGGAAAAAAAAAAAAGAAGAAAGAAAGCGTGCAGCACCACATGCTTGTTTCCTTTTCTTTTCCTCATTTGTCAACCTTGCAAGTTGAGAAAGGAAGATATTAAGAGTGCTATTGTAGGCAGGAAATCAAGGTTGCATGCCAGGTTTCAAGAGGCCAACTCGGACGCACGAAAGAAGGAAGCTCTCCTGCGTTCGTGATAGACTGTCGTTGTGAGCGTCAACGAAAAGAAATATTTGGATTCCACCACAGTTTTTGATAACTGCCCCTTTCTACAAATGAACTGTTGAGGTGCCACTGTCACCGACATTTGAGGCTTGGGACAGGGTGAAGTGTCTTAAATTTGCGCAAGCCAAGCAACGAAGCAGTATGCAGCGAAGGAGCAGTATTTTCATCTTCTTAACTTACTGCCTTCCCAGCAGCCACTGGCGGAGCTTGTGGGCATGGGACCTAAACTGTCGAGCTGGAAAAAACAGATGTGCAGAGAGATCCCTGAGCTGCTGTCACGAGAAATGCCAGAGTGCAATCGTTTAGCCAATTCTACAATCGGATACAAGTTGAGAATGCGTCAGAAGCTCCACCTCCAGCGTGCACCTGTTGCATTCCGTCACACTTTGGCCGAGCGTGACCATGGGATTCCGAAACGTTACCGAAAGTAGAAATCTCGCACTGAAGACGGAGCTTATGGCCATTCTTAATTCGTATCCGACTACAAAAGGCGATCATCGAAACATTTGATGAATCGTTGAAAACCCATTTGTACTCTGGTGGAGCGCTCACGAAAAACTAAGAACAGTTTGCGTGAGAACATTGCAGGAGGGACCAGTCTATCTGCAGGGCCTCATTCACACAGCCGTCTTTCCACCCGGCGAGGGAAGAGGGTTTTCGGACCGGTTTGGTCCCTAAATCGCGCTGCCAAAGCCGAAAGGAGCCAAAGGATGATGTTTTACATCTGGTGGATTGTCAAAAGTTGGGCGACCATGGGCACGGCCGTGGGAGGGAGAACTGATAGTAACATGCCACAATGACGAAGCCAACAAAGCTCTTTACGGAAAAAAGCGGGAGTATGCGCTCATTGTTTGATGTTTACGGCTCTTCAACAGCGGTCGTACAGAGAATTGGATTTACCGCTGAGCTGCTGCTCAAAATGGTGAGACCGCATCAATTCCTTTACGACGGACGCAAATATGATTTTAAGGAAGAGCAGCCAAAGGCAGAAAATACGGTGGCTGATCATCGGGAAGAAATGTGGCGTAACTAGTGATTGATGTGAAACGTGCTCGCAGTTGGTCCTGTCATTTTCGTTTAGAGATGTAGAGACAAATAAAATGTTTTCAGACATGGAAGATCGTTGTCGTCGACCCAAACGCAAGCTCTAAGAAACAAAGAAGTCATGACGGCACTGATCGACGCAAATTGTCCGCTACATTTGGTGATCGGTAGTCATAAAGGGGGGGGGGGGGGGGGGGGGGTTATAAGATTGGTGGTAAGGATCAAGGGAAGTGTGAAATTGCGTTTGAAATTGGTGGGTTATACATAGCATTTCATGTTTTCGCAGTTCATTTCTCGTGAAATTTGGAGGGCGTTTTTCGAAGTTTATTTTTCCCTGCAAATTCAGGGTTTATCTATGTTTATTTTTGTTAGACTTCCAATTCTTTGAAATTCACAGTTTTTTCTACTGTGTTCCCAATTTTCTATAATTCAAAAACAATATAAATAAAGTTTGTGTATCATGACCCGTTGTCCCGAAGGAACCTTGACGAGCTGAAAGGCAAATTCCTTTTGTTAGTAGTTCGGGATTTCAAAAGAAACTGAAGTTGCATCTCCTTGTGCTCTCATAAAACTTACTTTGTAAAAGAGCGTCTTTATTTCTTTTTTTGCTTTTCATTTTGTTGTTGAGACCTCGAAATTCTGAGTTTTTTTTTTTTTTTTTTACAAATTTGAATCGACGGAAAATTTACCAACGAGTGTTTTTCGGATTTATCTGAAAACACGAAATTTAGTTATACAGTTATAAAGACTAACGGGGCACAAAAGTTCCAAGTATAATTTTAAAGAGGTGCAGAAAGGTTCTTGGGCTAGGTGGCGCAAGCTATCGCCCAAAATAGGGGGTACAGCCACCAGCATCCGTCCATCCATCCTTTCATGCAGCCGCCACCGGCACACGCCGGCAGCTCCGTCGCTTCTGGTTCGAACACTCCACCGTCCCGTTTTCGGCATGGCACCTTCCCTGCCAGCACTGGGGTCGGGCGAGAAAACGGCTGTGTGAATGAGGCCTAAGCTGACTCAAAAATGTAGAAGACCCTGGCACACAGGGCAGGTCATTAACTTTTCCAAGCCCGCAGGCCTTCTATCAGCTGCAGGACAGTTGGGCATTGAGGCACCCTAGTGTAAATATAGTAATTATCATAACCAGTAAATAATGTTTTACAAGACTGAACAGGACTGTTCACCTCAGCAAGTTAACGAGGGCATGGGTTTTGAAAATTTTCTATCTCGAGTCACTCCTATCTCTCGATTAGGAAGTTGAGGAATTTCTCCCAGTCTCAGCAATGATGCAAGAAAGCAGTGCACAAACCAACAGATATTGCAAACGATGATGCACATAGTGAGTTGAGTGCTCTGATAGGAAATTACGCAGTACAGTTCAATAATACACATGCTCGTGATTTTTTCGTAAATAGATTAGTTATGCAACAACGGATGGCTCCCGAATTTCCTCGAATGTCTCTTGCCCAAGCAGTGTTTTTCAAGTTTAAATTCAGCACCATTTTAGCCGACATGAGCCACCTATTAATGCATAACTATGAGCCAAACACCTGCTAGTTTACGTGCATTATAGTGTTGGTGAGGTCTGCGGGTTTCTGTACCGCGTTATTGCATCAATGTAGACCGGTAAGGGTTCATTGGTTGCCACTGAAGGCAGACAAAATTTCTCGAAATTGAGAAGTTTCGAGAACCCCTGAGCTAGGGTAGTATATAACCGCTAAAGTCTAGGCAAGTCCAGGCTGCTTAACACAGAAACAATCGACAAAACTCACTGATGGAGTATTCCGTGGGTGGTATTTTGATGATGTCTTCATGGAGCAGGAGCTGGAAATAAAAAGATAAAAAAATGTAGAGCCCTTCCACTTCACGTGAAGATGGAGGACCAGCGAAGCTGTTATTTTTACGATGTCTAGGACAATGCCTAGAGAACGACGTGTAGGAGGACCTCAAGGACGACTTCTAGGACAACCCTGAGGACGATGCCTAGAGGACGACGTGTAGGAGGACCTCAAGGACGACTTCTAGGATGACCTCGAGGACCACCACTTCTAGGACGACCTCGAGGACGACGCCTAGGATGACCTCAAGGACGACCTCGAGGACGACGTCTAGGACGACCTCAAGGACGCCGCCTAGAAGACGCCTTCTCGGACAACCTCGAGGACGATGTCTAGAACGACCTCGAGGACGACTTCTGGGACGACTTAGAGGACAATGCCTAGGACGACTACTTGGACGACCTCAAAGACGTCTTCTAGGACGACCTTAAGGATGATGCTTAGTGATGATAACAAGGGATCAGGACCTCACTATCAAGTAATGCCGAGGAAGGCTGACTCACGCTGGTCGCCCCCTCTTTTTATCTTTATTTATTCATACTTGTCACGACCAATGGGGAGTTTTCTGTCAACATCCGGGGCACATTTTTCCCCAGATACTAGCGCATAACAGCTTCGCTGTAAAAAGAATGTGAGGCCTCTGGTTGTTTACCTCCCCCCCCCAAACAGTTTTTCTCAGTGATGTCCACACTGCCAAACTTCCCCTTGTGTAGCCTTAGTCTGGGAAGGAAGGCAGACAAAAAAGCTATGCATAGAGGGACTGTGCATGCAGCATTCCACGACAGCCTTCTACGTCAAATGATATGTATGAATTACTTCAGGTGCAGGAGAAAGTGACAGAAATGTTCCCATTGCATTCCAGTCTACAGTACCTGAAAACATACTTTTAAAGAGCCTAGATTTGATTCCACTGGTGTACGTAAATGAATACACACTTGTAAAATGCAATAATTAAAACACATGCTAAACCAATGAAGGGCATCTGTCACGCCCCCGAAAGAACTGAGGATTAATTTCGACCCCGCGGGGATCTCTCGTCATGCAACCAAAGACTCTGGTTACATGGCGCTTTCTCTGCAATAGGCCTCGGTCAGATTCCAGGCACGTCGGCCGGATTCAAATCCGCCGTCCGGGGATCCGTAGGCCAGCACATTGCCTCGGAAGTGCCGAGGAGGCTATCAGAGTTTCCCCTTAATAAAGCTGGCGGTTGCAAGGTACCAGCAGCAACAAAGGCACGCTCACCGTTCGCGTGTCGGACGGCAATGCCTCGATCCTCCTGCCTTCTTCGAGGAGATCCCATTCGTCCTCGATGAGAGTCCGTCGCTGCCGCTCCCGCCTCAAACTGCTCCGGAGCTCCTCCACAGTTTCCTGGAGCTCCACACGGAGCCGTTCGCTTTCTGTCAACCTGCAAGCCCGTGTAAGTGCACCACCTTTAGCAATACGACCCTTTTCAAAAGCGCACATCCTCTAGTAGCCACTGCAAATATCATTAGAGTCCGCCGTTGTTTGGGTACATACTTTGAGCACATATTGCACATGAGGGTTGCGTCGGTGTTCGGCAAAGACTCGAGCCTAATCGCACGCTCCGTGTCCAACAAATGGCTATCACCAATGTAGCCCGATAGGGTCTTGAGAAGGGTCTATTAAGGGGCCGCCCTCCGTAAATCACTTGTCCCACCGACAAATCTTTGCGCAGCATTGTACGGCAGTTTATTAAAAGCCTCGGCTCTCTCGGCTCTGGCAAATCCCCGAGAGAAAAGCTGACTTTATGGAAGCTGCTACACTCAGGGCCTCAGCACAAAAAACACATGAACTGGAATGGCCTGCCTGAAGCCATTGTTTCGACACTAAACTTCAACTTGCTCCGTGAAGTGTTAACCCTGTTATTTAACTAAACAACTTTTTTATGTAATACCCTGACCCTCAGAGCTCTTAGAGAACTTATATAAGTAAATAAATAAATAAACAAACAAATGCAGGACCTGGGACCCTTTAAGCTCCAGGTTTGACTTGGTCGGCTCTTAACAGATTATCTTATTAAGGTACTGTTGACATCCCAGTAAATTGTTCCGAAACCAAGCCAAACTCTTTTATTGATCAGGCTGTAGATAAACAGTTAGCTATTTTTTGGGACCTGAAGAACTTCGTGAGAAGTGAGCAAGTGACGATTGGAACCAATGCAATTCGAACGGCCAATCTCGCAGGTTGGATCTCTGCATGCTGTGCAGGAAAAAGGACATGTGGGCATTGATCATGAAGTTGTTGCCTTGATCTCGAGGAAATCGGTGACCGGGTAAGTGGAAGCTCGCCACAGCCCCAAACTCGGCGACTCTTGTCACGAGAGTAAAAAGAGAAGACCAGTGTTTGGCCCTTACCTCTGGTGAAGGTCTGCCTGTTGGCTGTCATCCTCCAACTGAAATGCCAAAACAGTGGGTCTGATTCAGATCGATCGAACTGAGTGTTCGGTCATAACCTCAACAGAGAAGGACAAAAACCTGGAGAGACAGGTCAACAGCCTCAAAAGGGTGCAGTTACCTGTCTCATGCCATATTGTCATGAATGACAATTGATAAGGCGGTAAATAACGAAAGAAACTAAACGTTTAATGTGGCAAACTTGTGTCACAACAAAAGCAAAGGAGAATAGCAGAAGGCAACAGGAGAGTGTTGCAGGCGTCGTGAGTCGGCGTGAACGCATAGTCGAGCGCTGGCAAAAGAGTGACTCCGTACGGTACGACACGGCTTCTTTTGAGCCTTCCCTGGGAGCCTAGAACATTCTATCTCATTCGCTCTGTAAGTATACATTCTGAGCATGAACAAGCTACATTGCTCTCCAACGTTCTAGAATCTTCTGCTTACCTAAAGAAAAAAAAAAAAAAGACAAGCGGTGGCGGGATTCGAATCCCAGCACTGCGTGGGAGCCAAGCACGTACTAGGCTAGCTGCGCACGCGGCAGTATGTGTTTATATTTTTTCCAACAAAAGTCATTTTTCGAAATCATTTTGGAAGACGACTTCATAAAGGACAGTTTCACGTGGCATACCTCCGCCTTGAAATGTCGTCAAAATCCACGCTCGCTCGAGTTCTTTTGCATAGTGACCGACTGCACCAGATGTGGTAGTAGAAAGATAAAAGAGCACCAGCTGATACTCGATTCTCAAACTTAGTACTCTATCCTACCTCTTGGATTCTTTCATCGACGAAACAACTCGCCATGTTCCTGCCTTTTACCAACACCAGAAATAATGCTAGAGAACACAAACACCTACATGCAAAAGATGAGAGCAAGTGGTAATAATGCTTCGTAAGTCCGCTCACAAACTATGCACCAGAGGTGGAAAAGTATTTTGTGAAACTGCTACATAGTTACCGCTTTGGTATTAACTTGTACTCGCTAGGCATTTTACAAATTAGCTCGTGAGTCAATCTATAATTTTTTAAGGATAATGTTGGCCAACTAACCAGAAAGTGACCACTTTGATACCATATGATGCAAAGAGGTTCCTTAGCTTAACGACACAACTTACAAACTCGCTTCATCACCACACTCAACAGTGTCTCAGATAATGTGGCTTGGCATAGCACACGCAATCAAAAGTATGCACTGTTTGACCAGTGGTATGAATTTGACAGGGCAAATGGGTGAACTGGCAAAACATGGTCCCTGCCGAGAGGTTAGGGTATTGGTGGCCCAGCGTGTTAACGCAGCCCAGCTCGGGTGCGTGTAAAGTGAAAGATCGCAACGTAGAACCCAGGGATGTCGGGTTCAATCCCCACCCCTGCCCGCTTTGATCTGAATGAGCATAGTACTGGAGTGAGGTCGTGCATCAGTACTGTGCGATGCATGTTTCAAAGGAATGCTGAACCAAAATTGTATTTTAGAAAATGAGGCCACAGAACGGGACGCTACAAACTTCAAAATGTCACTCGTGCATCGATATCTCAAACGGATGGCCGTATTTTTGGAAAAGAAGGGCACGATCAAGCAAGGGCTACGACGTCACGATCCTCCTGGAACAGTTGAGAATGAGGGGAAGCGGCCTCGCTTCTATCCTCCTCACTTCGGTTCACCAGCTCGAGGGGACGAAGCAAAAGAGGAGAGGGAATGAGAATTGTAACGTCACGTGTCTCGTCGGACTTGTCGGCAGTGTTCAATTGTGCACTTTTTTTTCAGAACTATGGACATCCGTTAGAGATATCGCTGTAATAGCAATGTTTTTGGGTTTTGCATTGTCCCGCCTATCGCTCCAGCCTTATTCTGTGGGCTCCAAATTTCAGTTAGCGGTTGTACTGCACCGGCTAAATTTCTTGCCTACAGGGGAGACCACCAGACACTGACTAGGGCTGACTAACCTCCTGCTATCTAAACATGAAACATACGCACAATGCAATTAATTAAAGGTCCCGAAGTGAACACTCACGACGACGAAGTGGCTGTCCCTGCTGACTGGCAGCCGTGACTGGAGCCTCACCAGCTGGTCCTCCCTCTGCCGCAGGGCTTCCTGGGCATGGGACAGCTGGTGCCGAAGGCCGTTCCTCTCCTCCAATACCTGGCCAGGTGGGCAGGGAAAAAGACCGCTTACGATGAAAAGACTGCCTGTCTCTTTGGTATATCTAAAAGCACTTGAAATGCATAGCATTTAGGTCCCCTTTGCCTCGCTGAGCTGATGCTTTTCTGGCAAGTCGGGTGACACGAAAACGTGGCGTTGGGACATCATGGTGGAATGTGACATTTAGTGACATCAGAGTTTCGTGTGATGTCATAGTGACATGATGTCACAGTGTCACATAACCGCAGTGTCATGTGACACTCACGTCACATGATGTGATGTCGCAACGTCACGTGACCTTTCCACCTGATGTAACCATACCATGTAATGCTACGTCATGCGACATTTACACTACTGTGATGGTGACATCCCAGTGATGTCATTTGTAACACCATGATGCCAGTGACATTATTCTGACAACACTATGACATCACCACGACCAACTCTATAATGGGCGACCAGCTCACCTTCTCTTGCCCCAGCGCGCCACTTTTTGTTTTGCTTGTTTAGCTCTTTTTAGTTCGCCTAGTTCCCGCCGCTCCCCCTAGCGCTGCTTAGAATCTCCACTTTCCCTGCTGCATAGTACGCTCGGGAAGCCTGGGAAGGCTAGTACAAGCTGTCTTTTGGCACGCGCAAGCGTGGACGCGTGGTTTTTCTGGTTGTAAAATAGCTCAACGTCAATGGTAAAGTGGAACTCAATGACGGGCTGTGATGGTCCTCTGCTGTGTGCCGCTGTGCAAATCGAGCACGCGGACTTCGACGGGGGTCGCTTTCCACGAGTTCCTGGTGACGGAGATCCGGAACGACTGGCTGAAGAAAATCTCTTGCCAAGCAGAAGGCGAATCAGTTACCCACCAAACTATGTAGCATGAAGAGAAAATAGGTTCTCTTCATGTCCATAACACAAAATAGGTCGTGGTACATATAAGTTTACAGCGTCATCCTTTACACGCCATGTTGCCAATGTTGGACGCTGTATATAACCTTCCTCATTTTGAGCGTTTAGTTAAATATGCAGTGATGCTGATACACCTACGTACCGGATCAGCCGTTATTCATCGGAAGGAATGATGTTCACGTGTTAATGTTGCGAGCTCGCGAATTTCAGATGACGGGGAACTTGCTGACAGGGTGTATATTTTAATTATGAGCATGTTAGACGTCGTTTGTTTATCTGATACTGCCTACTGTATTCGTTACTGTTTTCGATTTAGTGCGTCACTAATAAAGAAGTTAGTTGTCTGTGTCCTAGTGAAAATGAAAGAATAATAGTAAATATACAGCTTGTCTCTCCTATTTTAACCATTGTTATGAATCCGCCTATTTTAATGGTCTATTTTAAACAGTTTTACACTTTTGCCTTTCCTACAGCATTATTTCAAGAGATTGAGTATATGTTTTTTCATGTATACAAGTTCATTACTGGCCTAGCAAAAAAATTTATGAGTGGAGAAGAGCCATACCCTAAAACCAAAACTGATATCTTTTTATAGAAATTTTGAGTATTTCTGGGTGTGCATTCTTTACAAAAGGTATCAAACTGAAGCCGGTCGTATTAAGTGGGAAAACACACTGTACGTCTGGCCGCGCTATAAGACTGGAAGCTATACTGATAAGCAATTACTCCCATTGCTCTGGCTTCACATAAATTAGCTCTTCTCAAAAGGGAAAAATAAATAACTTAATTAATAGACCGGCAATAGAAAGCGCTGTCGCTTTACTCTGTTTACAGAACATGTCAAGAAAGCTATGCGGTTGTCGACAGAAAAGGTTACAATCAAACTGATGGGTTTTATCAACACAATCGCCGCCCGTCGCGTATGACCGCGCGCGCATTTGGAGATGATACGCGGCGGCGCCTGGCGGATTTCGCTGTCCCCAGCCGTGGTCACGTGGTATTTTCCGGTGCGCGCGTTCCCATAGAGAGGGGAGAGCTGACCTGGTCGCCCTTTATAGAGTTGGTCGTGGACATCACATCACCATGATGTCATCAAGACTACATCCCACCAGAGCCATATATACAAAGACTTTGGCCATTCATTGGGAAGTATAGGAGTCAAAGGAGGAGATTCCATCGGCCAAAAGCATGCCGAGCGTGTTCCAGGGCGTCTTCACAAATTTGAATGCAGCCAACCAGAAACCGGAAATAATACCCTGGCGCTGGTCGCGAGAAAAGAAATTTATAAGAGCGTCAGAGTAACTCTTGGTGACGGAAAATATGGTGCACGTGATATTTCAATCAAGGTCATCCAAAATCATGGTGGAAGAGCCCAACTAGCGGAACGATTGACATAATCCGTATGCCAGGCGCCGAGGGCCGGGAATCTGCCATCGAAGCGGTCACACTTTGTCCAAACAAAACAGAGTTCGAGAGACCCATTAGTTTCTTAGATCTTTCTGCATGATCATTATCAAAACATCCCGTGCACTCTCTTTTCAACCATGAAGAGTAACTGCATTTAACTCTTTTGCACTTATTAAAACCACATATCTATGATTAAAACTGTTTCTCGCTACCACTGCTAGGGGATTCTTTTCGGTTTCTGGTCGGCCAAGAGAGCATGTCAAGCCCTCTTTCTGCGTCTGGTGCGCACCTTAGCTCTGCCTGCTCCACCCACTGACCAAACTCTGTTTATACACGGCTCTGCATCCCAGCACAGGCATGAGAATGCTAGGCGCTAGCCTTAAAAATGATATGCATTTGAAACCACAGCTGCATGCAAAGTTGCAAAGAAATGCACCCTAGTTGTGGAGTAGTACTGAAACACACACCAGGGGTTGGTCACTTCCACATAGGACACATGTGACACACAACTAACTGGCATTGCTTGGGTGTGCGCAAGCTGAACTATGCATAGTTGAGTCAGGCAGAGCAACAATTGGAATGTGTCAAAAGTGAATAGCAACATGTGTGTCAGTGGATGGCACTGATAATGCAACAGCTCACCTTGCTGAGGTCAACAGACATCTCTTCATTCCTAAGCCCCAGCTGGTGAAGGTTCCTCATGGTCTGGTCCAGTTCCAGACGCAGCCTGTCGACCTCCGGGGCCTCCAGGCCCTTGCCTGCTTCCTTGTTCTCCTCGAAGCCCTTGATGTAGCTCCTCCAGTTCTGCACTTGCTGGCTGAGGGCCCGATTGTCCTTGGTCATCTGCTCAAGCTGACCCCTCAGCTCCAGCTTGGCTTCAAGTGCTTCCTCGTGCTTGGTCTTCAAAACCTGCAGCTCGGCTGACAGGGTCTCGGCAGCTTCCTTAAGGTGCTCCTCGATGTGCTTCAGCTGCTTTTTCTCCTGGTTCCACTTGCTCTCCTTGGCTCGAGAATGCTCCACCAGGGACTCATACCGCCGGGAGAGTTCCTCTATCTCAACCCGGTTCGCTGGTGCCTCCGAAATTCTCGCTGTACCCCCAGTGCCCTCAGTGACACGTTCCATCGAGGTTCCCACTTCTTGGTTTGGCGCCTGCACCAGACGTTCTTCAGCCTTGAGATGCTTGTCCTTGAAGAGGTGAAAGCGCTCCTGCAACTGCTGGTTTGCTTGCCGCAGCTCTTGCAGCTCCTGCAAAGTTTTTTGTCCCACTGCACCCTGCTGCTCCTCGAAGACTGCGAGAGCTTGTCTGGCAGTCGCCCACTCTTCCGTGAGCTGTGCGCACCTTTCCTCCAGATGGCGCTTCTCTTGTGCTGCCACATGGAACTCTTCCTGCAGGTCCCTGTGCCTGTATACAATCTGGTTATACTTCTCCTGCAGCTGGGAGTAGTCTGTCTTCAGCGCTGAGAGTGCTGCCTCACACTTGGCTGCTTCATCCAGTACCCTGCGGTGCTCGTTCTCCAACTCCTTGGTGGCCTTGACGTGCTGTTCGTGCTGAGTCTTCAGCTCCTCCTCAAGGCAATGCCGTGCCTTCTTCAGGTTCTCTGCCAGCTGCTGAAAGTTTTCGTTGTCGCTGACAAGCATCTCAGCTTGCTCCTTCAGGCTGGAAAGCTCTGAACGCAAAAAGTTGGCTTCGATTTCTAGCTTTCCGTTGTGTTCAAGCAGACTGCTGACTCTCTCGTCCAATCTTGAGCACTCTGCTTCTGCCTTCTCCGCTCTTTCGAAGGTCTGCTGCAGATGCTGAACGACAGTTTCGGTATGGTCATTTCGTGACAAAGTTTCAACTTCTTCCTGGAGGGCACGACACTTTTCTTCAAGATGAGATACCTCAGTCTTCTTTTGTTGATGAATTTGTTCAAGGTCTCCGTTAACTTTCTGAAGAGAGCTCAGCTGCTCCTCAAGTCTACTGTTCTTCTCCCTGAAGAGCTTTAGCTTCATCATCATTTTCTCAAACTTGAGCTTAGTAGCAGAAAGTTCTTTTTGTAAGTCCTTTGTGCTGTCATTTGAACCAAAAGACTCTGTTTTCAGCATTGCCATTTCTTCTTTTAACTGAGAGACTTGATTAAGCAATTCTTTTTTCTCTGCATGCACTTCTACTTGTTCCTTCTCGGTAATGAAGCCTTCGTCTGATTCTGTCTGCGACGAAATGTGACACTTGAAAACATTTTCTTTCTCTTTCAAAGTCTCCGCCAACTCTTCAAATCTCTGCTGCCAGTGGCGACTTTCATCAGACAAACATTTAATTTTTTCACTCGCATCTTCACAAGATGACTTCCACTGCTGACTTTCTTGAGTGAGAAGCTCGTTCCTAACTTTCAAGGATGTGACCTGTTCCTGTAGCACTGCCAGGAGCCAGTTCAAGTCTTCCAGCTGACTTGATTTAAGAGACACTGCAGCTTCTGATGACTGGTTGGTGTGCTCAATGATGCTCCGGACAAACGCCCCAAGATCTTGTAATGGCCGCTGGTACCGGTCCTCTAAGGACTGATAGTTTTGCTGAAGCAGATTGAACTGCTCTTCTTTTTCAGCAAGCTGGTTTTCCAGGGCCTCTCTCTTGCGTTTTGCGTTTTCCAGTAGCTTCTTGAGGTACTCAAAGGCACTGAACTCTCGTCTTTCAGAATCATTCTCAACTACCGGCAAGTCCTCGCCACATTCTTGAAGAAGTACATCCTGCAAGATGCAGTACTCGGCAGAAAACCTTTCGAGCTCAAGCTGACATGCTTCAAACTTCTCCTTCAAAGTGTCTGCTTCCTCCACCTTGGCATCTACAAGCTCCAGCTGCTTTGCCAAGTCCCCACTTAGCGACACCAGCTGGGTTTGCAATGCTTCGAACTCCTGAGACTTGGCTTGAGAAAATTCAGCTTGCTGTGCTTGCATCTCCCCCAGGAGAGCCGAAGCTGCCTCACACTCGCTCTGAAGGGCCTGCTCACGGCCAAAGCTCGCTTCGATATTTCTCTCGTGCTCCAAAGACATTCGCTGCATTTCTGCCTTTGCCAATGCCAATTCTGAAAGCAGGCCTTGTCCCTCTTCGGAGCGAGATGCCAGTAGGCTCTTGTTTTCCTCTGACAGCCTCTCCAGCTCTGTCTCAGCTTGCGCAAGCTTGGATTTGAGTAGTTCGATGTCTTCTACAGATGCCACTGCTTTTTTACTTTGTAGCTCTTCCACCTGGGTCTGTGAAAAACTGAGAGCAATCTCAGCAGATTTGAGCCTCTCCAGCAGATCCTCCTGGAGTGCTCTCTCCTCGGAAATCCTCTCCAATGAAACTGCCAAGTCTGTCTTTGCCGCAGCGCATTCCTCCCGCAGTTTTGCGATCTCTTCAGATGCTAGCGCCAGCTGATCGTCACGGTCTTGCATTTTATGGAGCAATTCCTTGGCCGCCAGTTTCTCACTCGAAAGTGCCTCGACCATCTGCTGTAAGTCCGTCTGCAGCGAGTTGTTGTGCGCTTTCACTGCATCTAGTTCTTTAGTTTTGTCTTCCAAGATCCTTAATTTCAGCCTCAGCTCACCTCTCGACTTCTTGAATGCCACTTTCAGTTTTTTAAGTTCATCTCCTGTCTCAAGGGTTCCTTCCGACTGAGGACTTTTTGTCGAGCCTTGGAGTTTCTGTGTTTCTTGAGGGCTTGATTTCAGCTGCATCTCTGCTGTTTCCAACGACCTCTTCACAGTCTCGAGCTCTTTCAGAAGCTTTTTAGTGTCCTCTTCTTGGCTCGACAGTACAGACTTCAGTTTTTCCACTTCTGCTTTCTTTAACTCAAGTTCCTTAGAGAGCTCTTCGCTCTGCGACATCTGCACGTCACCTTCACCTTTCTTCTGGCTGTCCTTGGAAGCACCCTGAAGTTTTGCCGCACTTTGAACCAGAACTTCTTCCATTACTGCAGCTGTTTCATGCCTCTTCTCATTGTCTGCTGCATGCTTCAGGGCATCAAGTCTGGCCTCAGCAGCCTTGCGGTATCCTCGAGCCTCTGCCAACTGAACCTCTGCCTCCTGGTAAAGGTCTTCAAATCTCTGGAGCCGATCAACTTCTCCGTTCAGCTTTTGCAGCTGCTCTTTGAGTTCTTTCACCTGCTTGTCATGTCCTTGGGCAGACTCCTCGGCATGAGCCGAGGCCAGTACAAGCTGGTTCTTGATGGAAGCATTCTCCTGATGAAGGCACTCAAGCTTTGTCTCCAGGTCTTGGATGGAATGTTCGTTGTCAGCCATTTTTGTCATATAGTTGGCGACCTCTGACTCTAGCTTCATGTTTGCATCTGAGAACTCCCTCAATTGCTGGTCGTGGTTCTGAACCATGTTCTCTATCTCTGCTGAGAACATGGCCAGCTGTTCTTTCACCTTTACATTTTCCTGATGGGATGCTTCCAGCTGTCCCTGAAGATCTTTGATGAGTGTTTGCTTTTCACTGAGCTGAGTGGTGAAGCTTGCCACCTCGGCCTTATTTATTTATTATTTATTTCAAAATACTGCGACCTCGATGAGGTCATCGCAGGAGTGGAGAGAAAACATACATATACTTTCAAAAAGACAATCGATTAAAGATGTACACACCCTACAAACAAAACTTAGAAAACCTTGAAAATGCAATATCAAAAGATTACAAAAACAATCACATACACTTCAAGTACAGATTCCAGGCACCATACCAGAACACCTACTGTATTTCTAACACAAACTTGTCAAAATCGAGACAACGAATGGATCCATTTATGTTATTCCAGTTTTCTATCGTTCTAGGAAAAAAAGAATATTTAAAACAGTTAAGGTGGGCTCTGTATGGTACAAGATTTAATGGATGGAAGCTTCTAGTGCGTGATTCAGTAACAAAACTAACATATTTTTCTCGATTAAGTGTACAGTTATTATTCACTATTTTATGCAGGAGCTTGAGCCGTTCTACAGCGCGTCTAGAATCAAGAGGCGTAAGTCCTATGTCAGTCATGGCAGATGTAGGAGAAAAATTGCGGTCATATCTATTACAAATAAATCTAGCTGCCTTTGATTGTATTGCGTCAATCTGCTTTATATCACCTTTTAGATGGGGATCCCACACCACACAACCGTACTCTAAGATAGGTCTAATCAAGGTCTTGTACGCCGTTATTTTAACTTCCCTAGTTGAAGATTTTAAAGTTCTCTTGACGTATCCTAGCCTTTGCAGAGCACGAGAACAAATAGAACTGATGTGCTTATCCCATTTGAGACTAGGCGTGAAAAAAATACCCAAATACTTGTATTCGTGAACTTGACGCAGATTTATATTACGAGTACCATAGCTAAAAACAGACGGTTCCTTCTTATTAGTAAATGACATAACTACAGATTTCTCAAAATTAATTTCCATCTGCCACTTTTTACTCCAATTCAAAAACTGTTCAAAAGAGTCATTTAGTAAGGCATGGTCATCTACCGAGTTGATTTCGTTGTACAAAACGCAATCATCTGCATAGAGGCGAATTTTAACTTGAAGACCATTTGCAACGTCATTAATATAAAGTAAAAACAAAAGAGGACCTAAAACTGATCCCTGTGGGACACCGGAACTAACTGAGACATTGCTAGAATGAACATCCCTGTATGAAACAAACTGTGATCTATTTTTTAGGTAATCTTCAATCCAATTAACTAATGACGTATTATTTAATATCGCTTGTAATTTCTGAAGAAGCTTATGATGTGGTACCTTATCAAAAGCCTTAGAATAATCTACAAAGATGGCATCAAGTTGTACTCTTTTATCTAAAGCTAAAGCTATGTCGTGAGTGAATTCAAGAAGTTGGGTTGAGGTGGAGTAACCACGACGAAAACCATGCTGTTGAGGGCAAAGAATAAAATTAGTCTCGAGGTACTCAGATATCTGTTTATAGACAATATGTTCCAAAAGTTTGCATGAAGACGATGTGAGCGAAATGGGTCTGTAGTTTGTGACCACCTGTTTGTTGCCTGACTTGAACAAGGGGATAATTTTAGCCGACTTCCATGACTGAGGCACTGTTGCAGATAGAAATAGATGTTGAGGCTGGCCTCGACATCACGCAGTTCCTTCAGCTGCTGGTCACGTGTGCCAACCATGTTCTCTGATTCTGTTGAGAACATGGCCAACTGTTCTTTCATCCTTACATTTTCCTGATGGGATGCTTCAAGCTGTTCCTGAAGATCTTTGACAAGAGCTTTCTTTTTACCGAGTTCAGCGGTGAGGCTTGCCACCTCGGCCCTGAGGCTGGCCTCGACATCCAGCAGTTCTTTCAGCTGCTGGTCATGAGCGCCAACCAGGCTCTCGATTTCAGCAGACACCAGCCCAAGATGCTCCTTTGTTTTCACATTCTCGTGTCTTAATTTCTTCACCTCATCCTCAAGGGCAAGAAGATGACTATTCTTCTCTGAAATTTCTTCTGCATGGTTGGCTGCTTCAGTGTCGTTCTTCACTCTCAAGTCCTGGTAGCGACTCTTCATATCTTCTAGCTCAGCCCTAAGTAAGCCAATCACCTCGGCCAATCTGTCCAACTCTTCTTGAGCCGTACCCGATTGACTTCTCAGCTTTTCAAGTGTGCTAGCCATGGATTCTTTCTCCTGTTGCAATCTTGTAGCCTCTTCTACCAGAGCGCTCCCTGACTCTATCGCTGTCTTCAGTTTCTGTTCGTGTTCTTCAGCTTTCCCGGCGGCATCTTCGAGTTTACTGGAAGTGGCAACCAACTCTGCTTTAGTGGCTTCCAATTCAGATCTCAGTTTGTTTACCATGTGATCTTGTTCGGTTAGAGTTGTCTCCAATTCGGCAACCTTGGAATCGGCAATATTCACCTTCAGTTCGAGATCTTGCTTCACGTCGTTCAGCTCTTTGCATGACTCTTGTAGAACCTGAAGATCCCTTGAAAGCTCTTCGTTGCTCTCCATTAAGGTTTTCAGATCTTCTGTCGCCTTCTGAAGATTCGCCTCTTTAACTTTGATTGCTTTTGATGCTTCAGTCAATCTCTCCGCAAGGCTCTCAACTCGTGCATTCAGGTTTCTGTTGATTTCTTTGGACTCTTGCAGTTTTGTCGACCGAGCAGCAACGTCCTCCTTCAAGCTAACCACAAGTGCATCGCGCTCTTCAAGTGCAACCTTCATAAGCGACAGCTCTCCCGTTCTCAACTCAAGCTCCTTCGACATTTCCGACAACTTGATGGCGATGTCTGACTGCTGCAATTCTGCGCTGTCTCTCAGCGATTGTAGCTCCGCGTCTTTTGACCCCAAAACAACTTGAAGGGAATCTAGCTGGCTTGCCTTCGTTGCAACTAACTCCTTGAGATTTGCCACTGCCTCAGAAAGACTGTCTTTTTCTGAATTCACTCTTTTCAGCTCTTCTTGCTTCTTTGTCTGCTCCAAATGCAGACTGCTGACCTCTTTTGCCAGCTGCTCACTGAGCTCTTTGAAGCTCGTGCAAGCCTGCGCCGTGGCTTCGCTCTCCTTCTGGTTCTCAGCAAGGATAATGCGCGTCTCCTTCAACTCTTCTGTGGTCCTATCAAGCAGGGCCTTACACAAGCTGTGTTCCTCTGTTACATTGCAGCATGTTTCGGCCATCTCTTCTAGCTGTCTTTTGGATTCGGCGTTGCTGTTGTCATACTGTTTCTGCAGTTCCTCAAGCTGCCCGAGAACAAATTCTTCTTTCTGTTTCCAGTCCTCATTCTGTTTCAACAGCCCGTCCAGTTTGTCTTCCATTTCAGAGAGTTTGAGGGATAGCTCTTGTTTCTCCTGGTTCGCCCTCTCTAGCTCTTTGCAAGCGTCCACTTTCTCGGCTCGTAGTCTGCTGAGCTCGTCAACCATTTCTTTCTCTCTTTGCTGGCCCGTTTGCTGTGCTTCGCACAACTTGCACTCAAGTTCCTTAATGGTCTTTGACAGCATGCCGCTCCTTGCTTCCAGCACCTCCTTCTCTTGCTTGACATCCTCTGTGCATCGAAGCGAGTTGGTCAGCCGCTCTGACAGTTCGGCCTTTTCGGCTTCTGCAACACCGAGCTGTTCTTTTAGGAAAGTGCATGCATCTTCCAGTTTGACCACTGCAGCCTGAGAATTCTCAAGGTCTGCGACGACTGTACTCAGCGAGAGTTCTAGCTGTTTGCGCTCATCTTGAGCCTTTTGCAGTCCATTCTCGACTTCCTTCAGTTGCTTGTCGACAGAATCTTTCTCAGCCGTCATTGTTTCCAAGCTGCTTCTAAGGTCCATCAACTCTGCCTGCAACCTCGAAGATGTCTGTGCACTTGCCCCCAAGCTCTGTTGAAGAGAAGTAATCTCTGAATCCGCTTTCTGAACAGCCATGCTCAACTGCTCCCGCAACGTCGAGACATCCTGTTCTTTGTCCTGTAGCTGCTGTGTCAGCTCAGCAATCTGAGCCTCAGCGGCTGCTTTCCTTGATGCAAAGTCTCGCGTGGTTTCTTCCATTTGAGTGCACTTTGAATCGAGAGCATGCTGAACACTCTCTAGCAGTTGACACTTCTCTTCCAGCTGTGACTGCAAAACAGACACCTCTTTTTCGAGATCACTGCTTTGTTCGAGTAACGTCTTGAACTTCACTTCTGTCTTCTTCTTGGAATTCGAGAGAGCTTTCTTGAGCCGACCCACGTCGTCGCGTGCTTCTGTGAGTGCTGCCTTTTCTTGTGTCAATGCAAGCTCTCGTTCCTCAAGCTGCGTCTTCATGCTTATGACCTCAGATGCCAATTCAGCAATCTTAGATTCTTTCGCTGCAATCTCCATTCTCAGACCACTTCTCTCAACCGTGAGAAGTTTAATCTGGGAAGCAATGTCTTCATTGTTAAGCTTCTGAGTTCTGGTGATTGTAGCCAGATCCTCGTTAAGTGTGTTCCACTTGTGTGTCAATTCTTCAAGAGAAGAGACCGCAAGCGACTCAAGACAGGCATCGACCTTTGCCAGACGACTCTTAGCGGATTCAGCTTCTTCTAAAGCGTTATCCAAACTCTCTACTTTTCCGGTGAGTTCTTTATTTCGAGTGTCGAGTTCGGCCACTTTCTCACAATACTTTTTTACCTCTAGGCTGCTCGCTCGCCTAAGCTCCTCCCAGGCTACGTTGACTTCGCCGAGAGTAGATACGCCTAGCGATTCCAGTGTGCTTTGGATTTCCCGCTCCCTCGCTGACAGTGTCGCCTCCAGAGTGGCATGTTTATTTTCTGCCTCCGCGAGGCTAGCTTTCAAGGCAGTCAAGGTGTCAGAAAGCATGTCTGCATCCCTCGTCTTGCTCTCCAGGGCTTGCTGTGCATCGTCAAGCACAAGCTTAAGCTTCTCAAGTTGCTCCGATTTTCTCTTCAGCTCGATGAGAGAGTCTCGATGGGTCGTGTCTAACTCTTCGATCTTGGCCATGTTGGCTTCAATCTGGTCGTGCGCTTCTCGAGAATGTTTTTCTGCTGCCCTCAAGCTCTCGTTGAGACTCTCTGACATGTTGTGCAGGGCGTCATTGAGCCTTTCGACTTCTTCCGATTTAGTCCTGACTTCGGCAGCGTGCGTCCCCTTCAACTTCGTGGCCTCCGTTCTCTCGACTTCCAGCTCGCTAAGCGTGCGCTGCAGCGTTTCTGCGAGTTCGTCTGCTCGTGCCGTTGCTGACTTGGCTTCAGCCTCGGCTTGGGCGAGGGCCTCCCCAAGCCGAGCTGCATGTCCGACGTCTTCCTCGTGCTGCGAGACCAACCTGCGGACCTCTTCTTCCAGCGCGGTTTTCAGCTCTTGTTCCAGGAGGGGTGCAGCGCCCGTCTTCAGTACCTCCAGCTCTTGCTGAAGCGACTGCATCTTGCGTTCTTCAACTAGAACACAGAGAGAAGAGGGAAGCTGTAACGCACTTGCCGCTTCCACAAGAATCTCTCCCCCACAAAAGAGGCCCAGAACACTCCACAATGCTGCTCAGAGAGGCATGTTCAAAATACTTCCGTCTGGAGAGAAACGAAAGGTGGCAATGGTATGTGGTAGAAACATCCTGAAAGCTAATGACCATGTGGGCAATCGAAAACTCTGCAGATGACATCATGACCGATTCCGCCAATAGCGAGATGTGGCAGTATTGGGTGGTTGCTTTTTGTTGTCTTCTCATGTTCATTAATATTTTCAGGGCAAATGGTTATCATATTCAAATGCACGGGAAAATAAAGTGACATGGGAAGTCAACTCTAACTCGTTTTCTTTGAGAACTTCTTCAGCCTCCCTTTACGGTAATTGTGCACTGAAGAAGCTTTTCACTTTGACCTCCTAAGGCTCTAGTTTGAACTATATGCTTCAAAGATTCCAAAAAATGTAAAGGTTCATACAGGCAAACCCGACTACAACGTACTTGGCTACAGCGAGTTAGCCCTTATATCGAACACGCGAAAATGTTTTATCGATATGCATGCAAAATATATCTTGCATAACGAACTACACAATGGATATATAACATTTCTAGAGTCTACCAGCAAACAAGCGAGCTCTGGCACTTCTGGCGTTCGGCTTCTTTGCAATGCAGACGGAAATTCCTCCCCTCAGTTACACTTTGTCATGCCCTAGCACTTTAGCACCCTATCAGGTTCCAGATTTCGTAACAACCGCAGCGCTTTTCAGCCACTCGACTCTGTGATGTTACCAGTGGTTTTGGAACAGAGAGAATTTGCGTGCGCACGCAGTCGATGCGTTGCAGACCGAGCCTCGGCAAAGCAAACTTTGCTTCCGTAGGCCTCCTGCAGCTTGCCATTTTGTTCTGCAATCGGGTGTGGCTCACAAATCAAAAGGACAACGAAGTAGCGGTGTGCTCTTCAGCTATCAGACAGAGTGGACGTCGTTACTGGATAATACGCCGAAACAACACTGACAAAACAAAGAAAGATTTGGACAGAACGTGGCATAACTTTCAAACTGAATGACTTATTCAGGAAAACGTAGAAATAAAAATAGAAACCAGTGCTGGCAGAACACTAAGATAAGGTGTAAACACACCTCCTATGAAACCAGCCTTACTGGTTCCGCATATAGTGAAATTCTTTGTCGGACAATAACATTTGCCACATCAAACATGGTGAAAAGATTTCGGACGTTGCCGCCGCCTTCAAGGTTTCTGGGAGAATGTTAGAGGACAACTCCGGTCGGAAACCAAACCAAAATAAATTACTGGTATCGCTTTAGCGGCACGAAATATGATCACAGCCGAAATGGTACACCAAAAAGCTAAGCCGCGTACTGCAGTGAACCCGATTTTAAATATGCGACTAGCTGCGCTTTAGCGGGCGGCAAGGTCAAGGAACACTGGTGCAGCACCCTACTGATGTCATGTCGCGATGGAGCTGCGGCTGATTGGTTGTACCGCGCACCACAGCACCCTTGTGATGTCATGTCATGGCCGTACGGCTGATAAACAGTGTTACCATCCGTCTAGCAGATAGTTTTGGTTTCGTCGTAGACGCCCGAAACCAAACTTTGAGTCGTGATATTTTAAAACTACACACAATATCGAAAAAAAAAATTCCTTGTAATTAAGGGGATTGCTTTAGCTGAAAACAGTCGTCATCACAAATAAGAAGATATTGACTAGAGTTGCCCCTTAAGCATCCTCGGCGTACAAAGAACAAATTGTAAAAATTTGTTATAAGTGGGTCTTGCTGTAACAAATTATTGGGTATATCAAACGACACCGGGCATTTTATACAGTTCGAAGTAAACAGGTTTGACTATATTGTACATTCCCCACTTTGATATAAAGAAAGAGAACTGAATATGTGACTTTTGACAAGAGACATGTTGAGAGGAGGAGGAGGAGCATGGAATAATTACTATTTAGTGAAGCTTAGCGAAATGTGCTTCATCATGCCGAGAGCCTGGTAACCAACCATAGGGGATATCTCAGCAAGGTCACAATGAGTCTGCTTGTTCATGTCAGCTTGAAGAGATGTCCCCCACAGTTGGTCTATAGGATTTCGGTGTGAATCAAACAAGATTCACGATGCCCTGCTAATCCTTCCTGGACCTTCCTCCTCTGCTACACTCTCATCAAAAGTACCACCTGGATTGCTTTTTGTTTTTATTGAAGCATGGCACAGGCACCAACGAGTCCTGGATTTCCTGAATCTTTGGAGTAGCATGCAGATCCAATTAGAGTCAAAAAAGAACAAAGTGAGAAACCTCTTCAGTGCACCTTTGAAGAGCTACTGACGCCTTGCGAGAAGCACTGTAGTCTATCCTTGAGCACACGGTGCAACACTAGCGAAGCAACAATGAATAAAAAAAAGAAGTCTCACTCTCTTTCTGCTCTTCCAACTCTGCGGCCCGCATCTCAAGTGAGATTTTCTCCTCCTGTGCCTCCTTGAGCTGCCTTTCTAGCTCTGCAATGGCAGCCTCCTTCTGAGCCATCTCCTCCAGTTTGGAGGCTACGGAAAGTGGGAGGGCAATCACAGGAGATCTTGTTAGCTATCACAGATCCTCCATTTGGATTGCATCACAGTGTCATACCAGTGAGTGCAATCGTTCTTAATTAAAGAAGAGCTCTGGCGGTTTCTTGAGCTACCCACACTATACTACCAACTACAATTTCAAAATTCCCGGGATTTACTCTTCTAGGCATGCTATCCCTCAATTCAAAATAGTTGTTTAAGAAAACGATCCATAAAGGTGATGCCAAAAGAAACATTTAAATGTTACTGCGGTTCCCAGTGGGGTGACGTCACATGCTGTAATACTTTCAGGTTGAGCACGCAATCTAAAAAGCACAGTATGCTTAAATTTTTTTTTTTTTTTGTTCTGCAGGAGCGAGTTTTTTCAGCATTAATTTCACACCATCAAGCCCGTGGAGAACAAGTGAAACTGGCCAAATTACATCTGTCATCACATTTTCAGTGCTTCCAGTAGATCCCTTTAGTTCAAAAGGACAGGCAAAAACCAATGTAAAAACTTCAGTAACAATGAAAAAAAAATATTTTGACCTATAATCTGAATAACTAGTTCAGCCGTGTCCATTGATGTGTCGAACCAGCCTCGAAGCAAACCAGCAACCATCAAAATTTTACCGGAGCCTTTTTATAAACGTACCTAACCTCCAATGAAAGCTCCCCAACAATGCCATCTTCTACATAGACATTATCCATAACATTCTTAAAGCCCCGGAACAGCACCAGTGATTCTAGATTGCCATGTCTGCGATCCACCGCTTCCGATTCCCACGTTGTGAGAGTTTGTGGCGGGTGTCCGCGTGTTTATCGCTCATTTCTAGTCGAAGTTTTCTGCCACATCCCGAAAGATTGCCCGTCCTATATCATATCAGTTTTCATTTCTCTTTACCATGGGAGGGCATTCATCCAGTATCTTATGATAATACCAGTGGAAGGTGATGTAACCAACATGGACGTCCAACCTCCAGGACACACTGAAATGGTCATCTTCAGCCTCAGCAGATAACCGTCTCCCTTGCGTGCAATTATTCCTTGCTAAAAGTAGCCCGTCATGAGTGAGACTGCCATTCGTAGCCTAACCCCCACTTAGCCTCCTCTGAGCAGAAAGTCAAAGAAATCGATATATTAAAGGCCGACCACCGGTCTCAAAATTCTGCAAGGCAGAAGATCCTCCTCACCATGGGAGAGGAGGAAACAGGCAACGGGGGACAGGGTAGAAAGCGGGGAGAAAAGTGGAAAGTGCAAACTGGTCCTCGGTCTTTAAGCGCCAAATATATGGTACCTTGAATGCGTGCTAGGCAGTAGGTTACATGGCATCTTCTAGTGGCACCTCGAGTCACTAGGTAGGTCTTCAGAGTATCACTCCCCTCTTGCCGAGAATCTCTTTATGTTTTTTGTTTTGGGCGGTTGGCGCAGCAATTGCCATTCTGGGTCCACTGAATTTCTGAGCCCACTCTGAATTATGGTCACACCTAGATCGTGGTCGTGCGCCATCGTGCCAAAGGCGTTTCTTTTTAATGCCGGCTTTCTTGGCCCTCTACACACAATCAACTGCACAACCTTTCTTATCTACACCAATCTCCAGAAAATAGTACCATCTTTCACACCTTTCTCATACTCAAAAATGACCTTTCAATACCGCCACCAGCATCGAAATTCAGTGCCACAAGTGGCAGCGTCTATACGCCATTTCCCCTTACGATGGATCTCGGCGGATGTCATAACCAATCCTGCACTCTGAGCGTGTCACGTTACTCGACGCACTGCGCTTACCGCTGTGCTTATCTAGAATGTCACGTGACACTCACGTGGCATCGGACTGGCTCCGACGACTTGTAGTGTCCGTCGCGGCCCGTCGTAAGGTGAAACGGAGTATAGTGGAGTCTCTATGAACCCGTCCGCTCATTTTCCTGCATCTTTCCATTTGAAAAAGCACCCTTTTGTACGAAAACAAACGAAAAAAAAAAAAAAATTATTTGAAAGTTCTGTTTTTAAAGGTCAATGAAGAATAATCTCTAATACAGCATGCTACACTGCAGGTGTAACAAAATGCCAGTGTACGAGAAATTGCCTTTACGAAACGACCTGTCACCACAAATTCAGACCGGCTCACTCGGAGTGGAGAGTTCAGAAACAAACTCCGCTGGCAGTGCGTCCCCAAGATGGGGGCGCACTGCCCAAAGAAAGGGCCTATGCCGCCCTTGGTAGCCCCAGAAAAGAATGTTGTCTGCCAAGCGGCTCACCCTGAGCGCTGAGTGTGTCCTCAGTCTCGAGCGCCCTCAGCTGCAGTGCCCCCTTCTCCTCCTCCAACTCCGCAATGCGCTGCTGCAGAACGGTCATTGCCTCCCCATCAGGTAGGTCCTGGAGCCATTGAGAAACAACAACCCTTCTCTTACCAAGCGACCGCGTCTCATTACGCCACAGAACTTCTTCTTTCAGTAGGAGCCCCTTCCTGAAAAGAGCGCTTAGCCCGAACATCCCATTTCTGGAGGGTTTTAACAAATTGGGACATGAAAACATTAAGACATATGGGGAAAATAACTTTTTGAGGCAGGTTACTTCTTTTTACGTCTGGGCCCTCCCATAGCTGAGATTTAATCTAGAAGTTCTACGCTGAAGAGAAGAGAAACACAATTCATTCAGCAAACTTGCCTAGGTGGCATATGGGGGAAAGTTGTTAATACTCAGCGTCAACCTTTTTGCACTACATTGTCAAGGCTTGCATAGTTTCCACAGCGTTGCAGCCCCGCATTGCCGTAAAAGCATGTGGCCTCGTCTTGCGTCTCATTCAAATGCGCTCGCACACAAAGATGCCAAACGAAAACGTGCACTCGCGCGAGTAGCTCCGACAGCGTTAGAGCACCGTGGAAACTACACTCGCATTGACAACGTGGCACAAAAAAAGTTTTTGCCGAGCATAAAAAGACGTGGGACGGAGAGGCGGCACGTAAGCCGGGTTATGTGGCATGACCTGTCACAAAATACCTGTGGTGGCACCGTGCGCAACGGTTACTTTGAGGCCAAAATCCCGCACAGAGAAGACGGATGGTTTGACGCGTGATTTATAAAGTCTTTTTTTTCCTTAGATGTAATCTCAACACCGCGAAAGTGTGTTGTCACCCAGTTCCAAACTTTCGATTTCACCCCATTTGTACATGTGTGCAAGTACAGCCTCTGGGTGCAGCCAATCTTGCCGCCGATGTGTAGACCGCCCAATAGTCGAACCTGGATGCATGATTGAATACAACTGTACCCTTCATATAATCGGCAACCTAATTTAAAAAATAAAAGAAAACATACAATTTACTCTTCCGTTCTCTCCTAAGCCTTTTTCTGCAGCCATCACCAGGGAGTGGCTTGCTGCCAGACTGGTGCCCCAGCAAAGCATGTTTCCCTTTTTGTGGCAAGACTAGCTTTTGGAGCATGGCTGCCTGCAAACGCCTATAAAGCGAAAATTTGGGGGAGAGGACGAGACGAGAGTTTAAGCGGGAACTTTGGAAAGCCGAGCTTCGGTTGGAATCATTAGTGGGTAAATGCGAAGCTGTCTACCCACTCCCCAAACGCATTACAACGCCGGTGTCCTTCTTTCTCGTTCGAACACATCCAACGAGTGCAGTGGAGAGGCAGCCAGCTTTGCGTCTACCCACATACCATTCCAACCAGAACTCGACGTTCTGACATACTGCGTGCTCTCCTCCTCCTCCTCCTCCTCCTCCTCCTCCTCCTCCTCCTCCTCCTCCTCCTCCTCCTCCTCCTCCTCTCTCTCTCTCTCTCTCTCTCTCTCTCTCTCTCTCTCTCTCAATTTCTTGCTGCAAAAAATATCACAAAAAAGAATTAAAATATTTAGAGCTTTTTCATTTTGTGAAGAGGGAAGTCCAGCGAAGCTGGCGCTCTGGTGGGATTTGCTGTCGGGCTGGGAGCAGCGGCAATGGCGGTTTCACGTTGGCGGCATGCCCATTCTCGATTCTGGGCGCGCTGATGCTCCTCGTCTGAACTCCAACTGATGAGGGCAGTGGCGCGATGTTCGACAGGGGGGAGGGAGATGCCGCGCGTAAGGAAGGCGCGCTCATGCGGCACTGGCCTCTGCGTCATTAACTGATCTAAAGCAAAAGCCTAAAACAAATGGCATCTTGTACGCACGTTCGTCAATGCTTTATTTTGGTTATTTACTTTGAATCTTTTATAGGAGGAAGGCGTGCGCATGCAGCGCTGGCATCTGCAGCAGTAATTGTACTAAAGCAAAAGTATAAAACAAATGGCGTCCTGCACGTGCATTCGTCAACCCTTTATTTTATTTACTTTGAATCTTTTATGTGGAGAGGGCGTGCGCGTGCAGAGCCGGCGTCTGCAGCATTAACTGTACAAAACTGTTGGCTTACGCTCAGTATGACCTCGGAGACAATCTGCCAGAACCTAGCCATAGACAGCTTCACCATAAAAACATTTTAACACGTTTGGTGACGTCCGGAATCTTGTCGAAGAAAGATGAAAACCCAAGGGGGGAGGCATACCTTTTTGAGTTCTGCGAGTTCTCGTTCGAGAACCTTGGCTCGGCGCCGCTCCAGCGCTCTGGCCTTGAGGATCCTCGCATCCGTCTCCCGAAGGGTTCCCTGCGCCTCTTCCAGGGCCGCGCTCTTAGCTTCCAGCTCCTTGTTCAGGGAGTCGAGCTTCTCTGCGAGACGACGGCCCACACGCACGGTTCTCGGTTGCTCTCTCCACAACATGCGGCCAGGCCAAAACCTAGCCCAAGCTTTGCGAACGCGAGCAATGCCATGTGACATCATCGAAGTACCCTCCCCTCACTAGTCCGCAAACTCTCAAAGTGGCACCTTGATTTTGCAATAAATCAAGTCGTTGTGTTGCATGTACGTTTAGCCAGCGGGAAGTAAGTCAGCCCCAGTGGGCACCCGATGCCTCCGTCGTATTAGATGGGAGATCTAGTTGGTGCAGTATGACTGCTAGCCTGGGTTCTTAATGTGCGTCATGCAGAGGCGACTGCGTGACAGCACATCGGTACGGTGCTCGTCTAGATCAAGACAAGCGGGAGCTTTCAGTCCACGTTGGCGGCAGACTGTGTTAACGCACCCTGGCTCGGAGCACACGGGGAGCTTTCTGCTCAAGTGCTCCGTAAAGCGGCGCTCCGACACACCCGGACACCGATCCGCTCGTTTTTCAATAGGTACTCCCTCGGATGAAAATTTCCAACTAGTTCCAGGTGAAACCGGTTGGAAACGTGTCAACCGGGACCGACAGGTTTCATCGCGTATATCCGCACGTCACCGCCAAAACAAATTGGAGGGTTTTAAGTGCCCACCCGTAGAAGGGTGTCCGGCACGCCCCAGTGGAGGGCCAAGGAATAATTTGGCCCACCCAAGGATCTTCCAACGCCAACCGAAATCTTGGTTACAGAACACCTCCGCTGCAATGGGCCTCCGGCGGATTGTGGGTGCCTTGGCGGAGATTCGAATGTGCCACAGCACCCCCCCCCCCCTCCCCCTGTCCCCCCCCATGGTCTGCTTCCTCTCGTTCGACGTGCCACCGTTTTGGGGACGGCTGCTATGGGAACTGCAGTGTATGCGGCGAGCAAGTTGTCTGCTTCTTGCACAAGAGCTCCGGTGACGTCAGAACAACGCCGAGCTCTGATTAGCGTTGATTGAAAGGATGGTGGGTAGACCTCAATGCTAGATGCCTTGAAGTCTACCCACTATTTTTTTCAGTCAGCCAATATGGGCCCTGCGTTCTGACATCATCGCAACCCCTGTGCAAAAAGCAGACAAACTTGCGTTCTGCATATTCTATGCAATACCTATGGTTTGAAGTATGGCAACTAGATGGCACTTCGCCGTGCTCCATGAAATACACAGCTTTGAAATTAAACCCTAGGTGGCGCTTCAAATTAAGAGAGGCGCACCGAAGGGGAGGCAGACTCACGGGAGTTCCACAACAGAGTCGATCTAGTAACGCTGGCCGGCACTTTGCGTCGGAGCCACCGAAGTGTCGCATGTTGCCGACAAGAGTGGGGCATCAAGGAGTCCCTACCTTGCACCACCCTGTCGTGCTCCGCCCTACCCCTGGCGGCAGCCTCCTGCACCCCGACCAGGCGCTCCTGCAGCTCTGCGTTGCGGGCGGCCAGCTCGAAGCGCGTGGACTCGACCCTCCGTACGGCCTCCTCGCACTCCTTTACCCTGGCCTGTCCGGCCGCGAGGTCCGCCGCCAAAGAGGCCTCCCGCTCCCTCCAGGCCACCTCCCTCTCGAGGAAGTCCCGCTGCAGGCGCTGCATCTCGGCGCGCGTGTCGTCCAGGTCGTCCACGGCCGTCTTGCTGCGCAGGCTCAGATCCTCCGTCACCAGCTGCGCAGCATGGCGCCTTTTTGAGCTACCCAAAATGCTGTCACACCTCGGGAGATGCCCCAACCCCCGAAAAATAACCCGCCATATAGGTATTTTTAGCTTGATCTGCTATTTTCTTTTAAACACCGAAAGATGGCCCACTGCTAGTAATTGTAGTGTTTGGATCAATGATGACCTCGGCATAAATGTGTCTAGTTAACTATGACGGGATATAAGCTACCGAACAATGCTGGCTGGGAAGTAGTCTTTTTTCCTCATTGTCTCTCGCCACAATAACCAGTTTGGCAGAAAACGCGATCTAAAAATAGCGCTTTTATTTTTACTTTCCTTGGTTGTACGCCGAAAGTTAGCCCACTCCCTATTTTCATCCGATTTAAGGTGGGCTATCTCTTGGGATATTACGGTAGGCACGTTTTCAGGATACCCAGCTTTTACTTTTTCTGGCGTGTTATTTATTATCTCCGAATTCAAAATAGCTATTAAAAAAATGAAAAATAAAGAGAATGCCAAAACCAACGTTCAAATATTCCCAAACTCCAGGGGGTGACGTCACACACTGTATAACTTGCAGGTCAATTAGACAGTCTAAAATGCTCCCTAACAAAAAAACTCGAGACTAGGAATAAATAAAATAACGTACAAGCACACACGCCATCTCAAATTCATACATAAAAATAATTCAGCAGCTCACATGCATATTTTCACCCTCGTAGTCTGAGGAAACATGGTATGTTGCGGATGCTTTTTTCGGCCTGCTGGCGTGGGATAATCCAGCATTCTCTTCACACCATGGAACTTCTTGTAACCCGTCGGGCACAAGCTATACTGCTTCCCTATATATTATGACATCTGACGTCATGTTTACAGTGTTGCCGGTAAAGCTTCAATAACTTTGCAAAAAAAAAACTTTGTGACTTGGGGTTACTAGTTTATATTATTGTGTCACCTGGGTGCTATAGTCCGTTGCAACTCAAGAAAATAGGGCGAGGGTAAGACGGGACGGGAAGTAGGAAGCAGATGGGCCGCTAAAGAGAGGAGTTGTCCCCCTCTCTTCTCCAGCATTCCGTCTGCTTCCTCCTCCTCGGCCCGTCTTACTCTTGCTCTACCTTCTTGAGTTGCAACGGACTATAGTTCAGATGTGTCGATTAATCTGCTGAACAAATTGTGAGGCAGATCAATGACTATCAAAATTTTTCGGGAACTTTAAACTGAAGGCAGCTTAAACACAGCGGCATCTCGTTAAAGGGAGACTGACAGGATATTTATGCTCGCCAAGGTTTTTATCTGTACATGACATATGAGAGCCCAACTACCCAGGACACAACTCGCGGCTCAAAATTCGTTTTCTTTCCGATCGAGAACTGGCCTGTTTGAGTCGTGCTCACTCTCTTCTCCGTGGTCATGTGCCGTTTTCTATGGTTGAGACACAACCACCAAATATCATCAAAGTCGTGGGTCACTGAAAGCACACACTCAATACTAAAAATAGACAAAAAATATCATACCCATTTTTTGTAGCTTCTAGAAAGCTGCAAATATGTTAATTGAAAAAAAAAAAAAAAAAAAATTAGCACAGTCACGTGACTTCTGATAAATTTCTCCTCCTCTATATTTCTTCTTCCTCCCCAGTCGTTTCAGTTTCGAGCAGTTGCATTTTTTCTTTATTAAAAATATATGCGAAGCTTTAACGAAAAATATTGATTGGGTACTCTTCTGACACCATAATAGATCACCTGGCAAAAAGTAAAAAAATTAAAAATTGGGGGGGGGGGGGGGGGGGGGGGGGTAGTTTCCTCTTGAGTCGTCTGTAATGCGAGTCTTTCATAACAAGTATATGAAAATGCATGCAATTACTCAGTTTGTTCACGAAAATGTAGTCTACATACTTGGTGCTCTTTTTTTAAGCTTTACAGTCTGCTTTTGAAAAAGCCATGAATGCCACACCAACGCGGTCTGCTAGCGGGACGTAATACAGGAGGCCAATCAATAAAATGAGTCAATTAACTCATATTTGTTAATTACCAGTGCTTTTTAATTAGGAAAGGTGACACTTCCTTTGCTTATACTTACGATTTTCGTGTTTTCAAATAAATCCGAAAAAATCTGAAAAACACTCGGTAATTTTTTCATCAATTCGGATTTATCCAAAGAACTTTGAATTTCGAGATTACAATAAAATAAAAAGCAAAAAAGACAACTCTTTTCTTATATCAACCTTATAAGAGCACAGGGCCAGTGGTCCAGAGGAGGTGCCACTTGAGTTTCTTTTGAAATCTCAAACTACAGACAAATATGGTTTGCCTTTTGGCTCATTGAGGTTTCTTTTTTGACAACGGGTTATGGTACCCAAACTTTATTGCATTTTTTCCTTTTTGGAAATCGGGAACACATTAAAATATACTCAGTATGTCCGAGAATTGAATATCTAACAAAAATAAACTCCGATAAACCCTGAATTTTCAGCAAAAAATAAATTCCGAAAAACAGCCTCAGAATTTCACGAGAAATAAACTCTGAACACACGGAATCCTAATTATACTCCTTCTTTGCTGACACTTATTTTCAATTATAAACTTGATTGGTGCCCTCGAAAACTACCAAATCAGTCAATTTTTTTTAACACTTGAAGAGCATAAGAAGCACTTCGGTGCTAAAAAGTTACCGCTGGTGCAACAGGCGCGAGAGGCTGCTGGTGCTAGAACACACCTGCGTGACTTTTTGTTTCTTTTATCAGCTGCTTTTTTACCCTCGGATCGAGACAGAGTCAGCCATCCCACCCGGGGTGTTCAAGACCGCAACGCGACGAGCCTGCTTGGCACAAAATGGCAGACCACCACAACGGAGCTCCAGAGCCGTAGGGAATAGCACATCAATGCTTCCTCTCTCTTTCTCCAGGGATACCTAATGTAAACGGCGTCAGTGTGCCGGAGATTGCTCTCATCGTAAGCAGTCGCTAGTGACTGCTTACGATCACACTCTACACAATGTTTGAACCAGCTTTCTAAGCCGGTTTGGTGTTCTTCCTTTCTGCAAATTCATTGAAAACCTTAAAGGGGCACTCAAGCGGATTCTGGGATTGTCTATTTACGGCGACAACTCAATCGATGAGCGCTAAGCATCCTAAAAAACCCAGAAATTACCCTCATAGGTGGCAGATTTTATGATTAAAAATATAATCGAAGATTGTGACATGCCCCTATTTCTGCAACTTAGAGCAGACACCATTGGGCGCCGTCGGACGGCGTTTTAAAACAATAATTGCTCTGTTACGACTTCCATACCCCATGATTTGACGTTTTTGTCAAAACATAATGCACACCGCACGTAAAAAGAGCAACAATAGTAACGCTGGAAATCTCCACGCAACTGACTTCTTTCATCGGTGAAATTTTGTAGAGGTGGTGGGCACCCCAGCATGGCCCGTCCCTGAGAGAAAATAGTGCCTGCATATTTCTATTGCTGCGAGTTTTATGAGGACAGCTTGCCCTCTAAAAGTGGTCATTTTTATTGTCTAAAGCTCAACAAACAATATGCCGTCAAAAACAAGCTTCTACAAAAAGACCTTGAGTGCCCCCTTAAGATACGACACCAGTATACAGATGCATCGTCCCCATCAAGCAGCACGTGCTTTTTTAACTAAGGAAAAAAAGAAAAGTCCCGTCAAATGCAATGCATAGTTGACGCTTTCTCTCTTGGGGGAAGACGAAGGTGCGACAGCACTCGATTGTTGACTCCCTCTCACGTGAAAGAGTGTAAGCAAAGGTGACATTTTCTTTGCTTATGCTCCTTCTTTGCTGACACTCTATTTGTCAATACCCTCCCATGTTGACACCCTCTTTGCCTAAACTCCCTATGTTGACACACGCTCACTACCTTACTTGCAAGGGCATGACTATGGTGCCTCGAACACATCTCGGACTGGTGCGTTTAGCATCCCATTCCGCCCACGCATCAGAAGTGGTCCCGAAGGGGCAAAAATAAATGATGTCACAAAAACCGGAGTGTTATGCTGTCCGATGTCACAAGCCCTAGTGGCTGGTGCAAGAAGTGCCGGTAAAGAGTAAGAGCAAATGTGATCGCTGCTGTCATCACGGCATCCCAACTCCTGGCTGCCAACTTAGAAAGCAACCCCCAACAGAACAGGAGTCTGCTACGTCTCCCCCCCCCATTGCTGTGGAACCGCCATGATTGCCGCCGGCTACAGCTGTGGTTCTCAACCATATATGTGTCGAGGACCCCTTGAGGACCTGTCAAAGTGATGGGGACCCCATGCAAGCGGGGGAAGGGAAAAAGGGGTAGGCATAAAATAAGACAACTTAATTGCAATGCAAAAAATGCATCTTCACTGTTATAGACAGGAGAAGTGAGAAGCATCGAGTAAAAGGACAAATGGATGGATAGACAGTAACGGCTATACCCTTCATAACGGGCAGTAGCTTGCGCCACCTAGCCAGGGTCAACAAAACACTAAATGTTTCTTCATGAAAAGACGGGGGGGTCGAAGGTTGAGGCGAGGGCTTTGCAGGACCCTTTTTGGGGACCACACAAGTGTGAGACGCATTCCAAGCACCATAGGCATGACCAACGCGACCAAAGAAGGTCATTAAAGAGTTCCCATATGTAAAGTTTGCCCTTTGAAAAGTGTACGGCTGGAGATGAAGGCAGCAAACCGAGTGTACCTGCACTGCCCTGGTGCGTGCCTGCAGCACCTGGTCCTTTTCCCGGAGGCTCTCCTGGAGATCCAAGATCCGTGCCTCGAGGGCTTCTGCCTCCCTGCTCAGCTCCAGGATCCGGGAGTCCTTGTACACCATCTGGGCGTACAGCTTCTCCCTGTCCTCCTGAAGAAAGTAAGATTGACAAAATAGGCCGCTGGAAAACACACTTTTTTTCTTCTCCGGGACAGCTTGGAGCTTTCTTTGGCTCTCATTTTGGAAAGCTTAGCTAACGTAATTTGCTAGAAGTGGAGAGTTGAAGGAAAAACAGCAAGGTTAACAGGTGCTCAAGTCGTAGCCAGAATGTGCCCAAAAGTAGCACGAGTGGTCGCTAATTCGGGACACTGTGGTCCCTGCATGTGCGTTTGTCATGCTTCACTTAAAACACGTAGCTGATGACGTGCAATTTTTGTCCGAAACTCGCAACTAGCAGATGACACGTGCCTAAGGCGCTGGCAGTGCCACCATCTCGAAGAAACAAACACGGTATCAAACGCACTCCGCCATACAGCCTCTATGGGAAGTTCCACGACCAAAGCAATCTATAGTCTGTCGCAGGTTGAGAACAACAGAACAAGTTCCTCCCACAAACCCCTCCACATCATAGCAGAGCGAAAGCTCGAATGGAGGAGAGTGGAGAGGAGAAAAACGCCAAATATGAGGAGCCAAGAGCTCTTTCGGAAGGGCTCGTCCTGCTTTAGTTAACCTGCAACAGACTATTACATTGTTTGATGAGGACAGGGTGACCCCAGGGCCTACCTGGTGGGGCAATTCTGCCTGGGAAGTCGCAGGCCGCGCTTCGGCAAGCGCCTGGTCCCTCTGCAGCAGCTGTGCCTGGAGCTGCTCCACCGTTGCCTCAAGGGCCCTGTGTCTGGCCTGGGCATCTCGCTCGCTCTTCTCGAGACGCTGTTTGGCCTCGTCCAGCTGATGTTTGAGCATCCGCAGCCGGCCCCTGTCTGCGGCCTCGGACTGCGCGGGAGACGATGGCCCGGAACCGGCTTCGCCGCCTGCATCCTGCACCCGTAGTCTGGATCAGTTCCCATCGACCCGAGGGATGTACTTAGCAGACTGGGGACCCTTTCCGAAATTCAGCATTGCCACTCTGGTCATTTGTCAGCTGAATGCCGCCAATGCCTGACACGAAGAGTTAAGCTGTCGCAATCCGATCCAACCGCAGGGCTGTATGAACCTTTTCCAAGATCCAGAATGGCCGCTCCAGTTACTACCATCATCATCTTCTTTTCCTTTTTTTGCTAGATCCAGTCTTCTACTTTGTGACTGCCCAAAATAAAAAGTTAAGCTTCCACAATCCAATCCAATCCTATTCAATTTTGAATATGTCATCTGTGCCCATACTATACTCCGCTTACGGAGCTGGCCGACGCTCCTGACTTTGAGCTGTGCCTTTCTAGCACGAGCGCTCATTCAGCAAAATAATGTTTTAAAGTTGCAATCTTGTGCTCTCGTGCTTGCTGCATTGGTTGCGCAGCCTCAGCTAAGAAAAGCAATTAGTCGCTAGTTGTTTATACAGCAGAAGGGTTAGTCTGCCAAAACATGGCGACATTGTTACCCACTGTTGATGAGCAATTTAGCCAGTGCAGTACAACCGCTAGCCTGGGGTCTCTAACGTACACCACGAAGCAGTAATACATGATTGCATGCCGATACGCTGCTCATCCAGATTGAAACGGACAGGGGTGAAGGACTGAACCCAGGATCTCTGGCTTCTGCAGCGCGAGCTTTTGCTCCATGTGCTCCGAGGTGTGCACTGGCCCACTCGGCCACCAATCCCCTGCCTTAGCTAGAGGGTGCGCGGAGTATAGTGGTGGCTTTCTGGTGGCTGATAAAGAAAGAAATGAAGACGTGCACCCGAACGGGTTGACAGGAGGCCAGTGCATTCTACAATTGGTGAAAGGTCAAGAGTTCAGGGAAGCTCCTCCGACCTTCTTCCAGTTTAGCAAAACGAACGCTGGAGATAAGGTTGCCTCCTTTTTTTAGCGTTCGCTCTGCTATAGTGGAAAGGGGTGGGAGGAGTTTTCCCTAAACTCTAAACCAGCCACTGATTATATACGTTGGCACAATGTGACACGTGAATTGCATCAGTATTAATTTCGAACAGGTGTTCAGCCAGTCTGCAAATGCAAGCTCTGCTTTGAAGCTCTTCAATACAGTGAATTTTATCAAGGGTCAAGTCAGCATTTTATACATATTATTTGAGAAAGAATGGTATAGTGAAAAATGCATTATCGTTTGCCAGTGACATATGAAAGTGACGGTGCCCAATAAAATGCTGCATTTTGATTGTCACCATTAGTATGGCCAAAGGTAAACTGCTTTTTAAGGCACTAGAGGGTGCCGAATATTTTGGTGGAAATGGTAGCAGAGATAGCTGAAGGTGAGCACGGTTGCAATTAAGGTTGCAATTAAGCGTGCTTGACTTGTTGGCTTGACCCAGTCACCACCGATCGTGAAGAACAGCAGCCTTCACAGATATCTGCTGTTACTGCATGATCCAGGAAAGCCCACTCTGACCAGCTGTGGGTTGCTCAAGAAACGAAACTCTAGGGGAGCCAATTCTTTCCAAAAAAAGAAGTTGCCCAGGTGCGATCTCGAAAACTTCCATGGTCTAACCGCGAAGAAGGGCTAGATAAGCTCACCGTTCCTGGAGAAGACTCGTGTGCTTTCACTTGATGGGTGAGCTGCGTTATCTTGGCCTTGGATTGGAGCTTCAGCTTCTGGAACTTGGCAGTTGTCTCCTGCAGAGACGTGCATCTATGCTCATTCCATTCCAGAGATATATGGGCACAAGAAGAGCCAAGTATACCTGGAGCTCCTTCTCTTTCTGCTGCAGAATCTGCTCGTTGGCTCTGACGATGTCCTTGAGCTGCTGGATCATCAGATCCTTTTGCTCTAGCTCCTCCATGGTGCGTTGGATGTGCCTGTAGCTGTAGAGCGTACTACTCTTCAGAACGTTGGAAACTCCATCAGACACGGGCAGTGGTCCTCGAGCGGTTGCGGGAACGGTGAGGGCAGAGATATTCAACTCGACCTAAGCTCTTAGGACCGAGCTGCCCATATTCCTGGCTGCGTTAAAATAAAGTTACCCACCACCATCCATCGCCTTAATGAGATGTACGGGCAAACGGAACTGCCAGCGCGACTGCCGTACAAGACGGTGAGACGATGGAGAAAATATGGGTCAATTTAACGCGCGCGCGAACTGTGCTCAACTTCGGTCGAATGATCCGATCTTGTTTTATATTTTTGATCGTCTGTTTATGAGCTAGTGGAGACGACGCGAGATCACAAAATGCAACGGGTCATGCTTGAAACGCGGCGGAAATCAAATTCTTTAAAGCCACAGCCAGAAGAAAAGTTAAGGGTGACTGGTGCTTTGGAACGAAGACAAGATGAAGAGAGCTGTCTACGTGGAACGTCGGGCGGGGCACCCCTGTCAAGGCGTTTGAGATGATGAAACAGAGTCAACTACGAACACATGCAGAAGAAGGCATTGAGGTGTCCGTTATTACCTAGACTTTTTTTTTATCAACACCTCGTCATTCCAAGGAAGTTGAGATTCATTCCTACGTGGCCGCCGGAGAGCCCCCAGAAGACTGGAAACATGGACGTCGCCATGTTTATTTTCTCACGTGGCTTTGGTCACGTGCTTCCAGACAAAACGCAGCGGCTTGTCGAGTGACTTGAGACTTGACTTAGAACAGTTTCGATTTTGATTTCGGACGCGCATGGAGCGCACAGGGCCGGGGCTTGTGGGAAATAGAAAAAAATATGGTTCACTTGCGATTCTGAAGGGCGGAAACTCCGGATGTGTTCCAAATCTTACCGAAATGGATCCGAGGAACTCCGGCGGGTCGTGTCACGTGACAACGCAGATTCTTCGCCACTCCAGCGTTCCGCCTGCTTCCTCCTCCCCGGCCTTCCTTTCCCTCGCTCACGGTGTAGGAAGGCCCTCGCCCTACCTTCTAGAGTTGCAACGGACGCAAATGTGCAAAAGCCTTACCCTGGACTGGAGTAAGATAGAAAAGAGGGTAAGAGAGAATTTGTGAAAGGGCTGCCGGCGCTTTCCTCCTTTCCTGAGTGGTTAGGAGAAATCAGTGTTTCTTAGTTCGGTTGTTTTCTTCGCGGTTTCCTCAATTTTATTTTACTTCCAGGTGTAATTAGAGTTAGCAAAATCAATGAAGACAACCCTTGGTAATCGGGACATCATTGTTCGGTAATAGGCTGCACGAATAACAACGAAAGCGCAGAATATTATCGGATGACACTTGTATCATGCACGGGATCCGACAAGGCAACTGCGGCTGCAATGTCTTCAAACTCCGTTGTTTAGCAGGGGCTCTAAGCTAGACACTCGGCGAAAAAGTCGCCAAGAACTCTGACAGCCGCGATTGGCCAGCGCCAAGGTCAAGCGCGGCGCGGTCAGAAATCTCGCCGACATGCTCGCCAAATGTCCAGCTTAGGGCTCCAGATGACAAAAACCTCCGGCGGCAGTGGGTTGCATCCGAAAACAGAAAATAGTTTTCCCCGGCGCCATCCTCTCGATGCTCGAAACATCTCATGAATAGAGCGCGCACAGAACTTACCGCTGTACCGTCGACGAACATGGGCCATGCTCTCAAGGCAAGTGCACGTTTTCTTGTGATAACTGCTGTTTCAGCTTGTAACTTCTCGTAACTTAATTTATCTTAAAGGGACACTGGCAGGGTATTTATGCTCGCCAATGTTTTTATTTGTACATTACATATGAGAGCCCAACTACCCAGAAAACAATTCGCGGCTCGAAATTCGTTTGAGTCACGCTCACTCTCTTCTCCGTGACCACGTGCCGTTTTCTATTGTTCAGACTGGAGCCACTAAATGAGTTGGCGTAGCTTATTTAGTGGCACTAGTTCAGACATAACCACCAAATATTATCAAAGCCGTAGGACATTGAAGGCACACACACAATATTAAGGAAAGAAAAGAAATATGATATCCATTTTTTGTGGCTTCTAAAAAGCTGCAAATGCGTTGATTGGGAAGGGGGGGGGGGGGGGGGGAGTATCACAGCCACGTGACTTCTGCCACCTCTCTCCTCTATATTTCCTCTTCCTCCCCAGTCCAGCTTCGGTTTCGAGCAGTTGCGTTCTTTTACTTTATTAAAAATATACGTGACTCTGTAGCAAAATATTGATGGGGTAGTCTTCTGACACCTATAATGAATCGCCTGGCAAAAAGTAAAAAAATACATTTTGGGGGTGTCATGAGCAGTCTTGAATAGTGACGCGTTACTGTAACTTTGTTACTTTTCTGGTAACTTTTAACTGTAACGAGTTACTTTTTAAAATGTAACTTGTAACTGTAGTTCTATTACTTTTTTCTGAGGTAACGATGAAAGTAACGACATTACTTTTGTCGTTACTTTCCAGCGTTTTATGAATACTATATCACTGAACGAGGTACAATTTAGTTAGTGAACAAAAGGTTTGGGCACAAACGAGCTGGTGGGGGTTAAACATTTCGAAAAAAAAAACAAAACAAAAACGAGACTGGGACAATAAGGGACGGACACACACAAAGTCTCAAGCACAGCTGAATTTTATTTGACAACGAAGGGTGCTTATATAGGCGTCAAATCCTACACAAATCAAAAGAGGGGGAGAAACCCACACAACACAAAAGAGACGAAAGAAAGAAAGGGATACCCGTGCCACAAGCAGTACAAAAAAAAACAAAAAAAAAAAAACAAGTATTACAAGAGAACTGAGAAGTGGTGAGATCGTTTATACAAAAACAAAAGCAAAGTAGGACTAAGGTGCATTAGTCGTTTATACAAAAACAAAGTAAAAGGACTGAAGTGCATTAGTCCCCAAGAAACCCCAACACTAACAGGAAGGACGCAACGAACAAACGACCAGAAAACAATAAAGCGAAATTACTTAAAATCGGACGAAGGCCTCAACAGAACAATTGACAAACATGTAAAGGCTGGCATAGTACGGTTTTCAGCAATGATTACAGACTGAATCGGTTGACTCCGTTTGCTTCCGCCAGAGCAGGATGCACTAAAAAACACAAGGAAAAAGAGGTCAGTTGCGTGTCGGGAGTAGTATACAGGATCCCGTTTGATTGCGGATTATGCTACATGGGACAGACCAAGCGCTGCATAAACGATCGTCTCACCGAACACAAACGTTGTGTCAAAAACAAAGATCCTTATTCGGAAGTATCAAAACATGTAGTTGAGTGCAAAAATTGTCTACCCAACTGGGACTCAACAACAGTCATCTTATCAGAAAAGGATGATCGGAAGCGTTTGATAAAAGAATCTATAACAATCATGAATCATGGAAATGCGGTAAATAAGCCATCCCTCAGCTTGCAATCGCCCAGCTTGCAATCGTCTATACATCATACAAAAGATAGTCTGCATAAAGATTCGAACGCGAGCCACTGCGAGATCCGTGCTTCAAGTGCAGCATGGCAATGAGTCCAAGGATAACGATTGACACGCGCGGCATTCGATCCACGGATGTTGCGGGGACCCGTGCTTAGAGCCCGCAGAGTGAATTATATCTAGGCGATATGAGATTATGAGAGAGACTGGACCAATGTTGGGTGCGACCAAGGGGTGCGCGCGCATCGAATTCAGCGGTTTCTGCAGCAAAAGAACGTAGAGCATTGCTTGTTTGAAGTTAGTTACACAAGCATGGCGTCCGCACGCACGTTTTCGCGGCTCCGCTTCTGCCTTATTTTTGTTGCGCTACTCAAGCTACGTCTAGACGACTTCACGGGCCTCGAGACTCATGAGCGTTCCAGGCATCCCCTGACCCGTCTGCAGACCTACCCACCCCTCTCCAGCTGGGTTGCCGTTGGGGCTACGACGTCGCTTAGGCCTAACCGGCCGGGCTACTCGCCGGATCGCCGTCGGTCCTCCGCCGCTGGCTTCACGATGCACACTCCTCGTCACCACATCGTCTGGTGCCTGCTTCTCGCAGGCGATATCGCTCCCAACCCGGGTCCGCAGCAAACTATTTGCGCCTGCTGCACGAAGCGGATACGGGACAACCAAGCCGCTCTCTGTTGTGACACTTGTGAGGGGTGGTTTCACCGCGGCTGCGTCCACATGTCGCTGGGACAATACCGTCGACTGGGCTCCTGCAGCGATCCGTGGTTGTGCATGGTGTGTTCGCTGCCGCACTTCTCGGACGATTATTTCGACGTCCCTAGCAAAGCTCCAAGCCCCCTTTTACCGTCGCCAACCCCCGACATCGCGGACGGCCGTCGGGTCGTTGCCGGAAACCAGACCCATCCTTCTGGTGTCAACAAGGGGTTGACGCTATGGTACACTAACTGCCGTAGTGTCAAAAACAAGATTTTCGACGTCCAAGCCACTGTCGCATCACTCGCACGTCCTGCCGTCATCCTCCTAACCGAAAGCTGGCTCGATCCCGGGGTCCACGACAGCGAGCTCTTCGATCCCTCTTACACGGTGTTCCGGAAGGACAGACACGGGAAGGGTGGTGGTGTACTCATCGCAACACCGTCCAGTCTCTGCGTTAATCGCAGGGAGGATCTCGAGTCCTCTGACCTCGAAGCTGTCTTCGTGGAGATGTTCCTCCCGCGTGGGACTGTTCTGCTTGCTTGTGTGTACTGCCCACCCAATCGCCGCGAAGAATCGTACTCACTCTTGGACGCTTCGCTCTCTCGCGTGAGATTCGAGTGCTACAAGGATGTCGTCCTCCTTGGCGACTTCAACTCCCATATTGACTGGTGGAGCCGCCAAGAACCTTATCCTAGCGACCTCACCGATGATATCCTCCTTGACGTCACATCTGCTGTGGGCCTCCAACAAGTGTGCCGCTCTGCCACCTACCTAGCCCAGCTTGCGCAGGGCCGTGCCTCATCATTTCTCGATCTGGTTTTTACCACAGACATCACTCGGATGCTCTCCTGTGACGTGTATCCTGGCCTGTCCGGGAGCGACCACCAAGCAATAGAGGTTGAGTATGCCACTTGTCTCCCTCGGAAAGGCCGGTTCGCACGAACTCTGTGGAACTTTTATCGGACCGACCATGCCCATATGGCTAAGTTAGCCCATCTTGCACCCTGGTGTCTTACCACTGGGGACGATTGCGCTGACAACTACGAACTCTGGTGCGACTTTGTTGGCGCCATCCAGAAAGAATGCGTGCCCTGCTCGCGTAGTTCCACGCGAAGGAAGAGGTCCCCTTGGATCACCCCCGAAATCAGGAAAATGGCTGGCCAGAAACGAGCCCTCTTCAAACGTGCCGCTCGTACAGTGCCAGATTTCACTTCAGAGTGCTAAAGATTTGCAGCGCTCAATCAAGTCTGCCATCTCTCGTGCTCACAGTGCTTACGCCCACACCATCTCTATGAAGGCAAAAAAGGACCCTAAGCTGTTCTGGCAGTATTTCAATGGGCTTCAGTCTAGCCGACAGCATCCCTGTTTCTCCAGAGACCATCACCCCATCACGTCCCCCAGGGACATAGCCCAACTCTTCGCTTCACAGTTCTCCTCTGCTTTCAGCCACAACTCCTCTACTCCAGATCCCGACCTTCTTGTGCAGACTATCGAAGCTTCCACC